CAAAATTCGATTTAAAACATCATAAAATATGTTATTGATAGGAAATAACATGAGAATTACATTGAGACGCAGGCAGCGCTAATTTAGCCTTCCCTTCCCAATGACCGCGAAACTGAACATCATTAGAAATGTCAACTCCCTCTATTCCGATGCTAGCTGAGGTTTTATGAAGAGTGTCTTCAAAGAGACGAGCGATACAGGGTGTTTTTTTTAGCGGAAAACGCGGTAACTTGTATAGTCACAGGTGAAGTACACACATGCAATAGAAACAGTGAGTACGGAGACTCACTGTTTCTTCTGCACCTTCATATCTCTTAGGGAGGGAGAGGGCGCCATCCCTTCCTTCCCCTCCCTAAGAAATCTCCGGGATTTTTACTTACCGCAGGAAACGCGAGTACAATAAAGTGAACCTATTGCATCACTTCACAACGGCTTTCTGTGGGACAGTGGTACTGCCCCGGTCGTGGTGGTATTATTTTATAGAATACACTTCTTCAGTATACGCAACATATTCATTTAATACTGAAATTATCGTCATTAATGTGTCCTTTTTATTATTATTTTCGGTTTCACTGTTTACATATATTTTAATTATTTTTTCCATTAGTTAGTTTGTCTCAATAGCTATATGTCTTAATATGTAGTTTTGCACTTGCGCTCACCTTATCTATTTTTATTTTCTCACAGTGGTTGCCTGGAAGATAACCCTCGAAAGCTATAAGGCCGCCATTTGCCCTACTTTTTATTTCATTATTATAATTGTACTATATTTCTGTATACTTGCAACGATGTGTTAATGAATAAATATATTATCATAACAAATTAGCTTGCGTTACACCTCTCGTGAGGGGGCATATACCCCCTTCGAGTGGTTTATAAGTTGTGTCCTGCTAATACAGGGCAGTACGGGGGCGGGCTATTTAGCCCTTGATGGGGCTCGACTCGCAACGCACAGCCGACAATATATCATTGTCAATACTTTATACGAATCCTATTTTTTATACCTACGTTATTCTATTGCGTTATAGCGACATCTACAAACTGTGACCAAAATCAATGCGTTGACGTCACACGCTAAATCCCGCTAACGAAGTAGGCCGATCACCTACTTGTCTATAAGACAAATGATCATGAAACAGATACAGAAATCTAAAAAGTTTGTAGCGCCACTGATTTATTTTATTTATCTTCTGCGTCCGCCTTAGTATAGCCAATGTCGATGGAATAAATAAAAAAACTTCAATAAATAAGCTTTATTAATTACAATGTAAGGGTCACGCTACTCAATGTCTAGATTAACTAAATTTGCGAGCGTGATCTTACTCTTTACATACTAATGTTAACCGTACTGAGTCGTTTATTAAGTAATTATCAGTTAAATAAAGATAGATTCAAAAGCTAAATGATTGCAATTAGATAAATCGATATATTTTAAGGAATTACAAAACAAGAGTTCTTTGACAAATAAAACAGCTAATTCACATATAAACGATAAATAGCTAATAGTTAAATATAAATTCAATAATATACACAACGTTTTATATATAATACTAAGTTTTAGGTTCCGCTTAACTTATATTATGATAGATTGTCAAAAAGTACCAAAAACATTGGGGTTAAATATAATGATCACCATAAAATGCTTTGATACCCTTAGTTCTTTTACCAAAAATATATACTTAACACCAGATAAATAACGTCTAAAATTACAATAGTACTAGCTATTTTAGTCACGACTGCACTTCAAATTGTATTCGAACACCAAATGTAGTAAATGATCACCAAATCTTAGCGAGCAAATTAATGCGCTATTTCTGCCTAAATAAACCACTATGATTGACATAAAATGTAGGCTTATTACCAAATGAAGCATTATGATGCCATATTAAGTTATGTCTGCGGCTTACGATCCTCTCCCACCACACCGCAAGCGCCGCGCACGCCCGGACACGATCGCCAATTTAGTCGCGTGCGAGCACTTGCTTTTATTGGGTGTGTTTTGGTATCTATCTTCTTTGCAATGGCGAATGAAAACTTAGCGGGACCGAGTTCGTGTGCTCCGCTGTTGAGTACTTCATCGGAATCAGATGAAGACGAATATAAAATCACAGAGCATACGAAAAAACGTCGAAGGCAAAATAAAGTTTGGGTTTTTGAAAGAAAATTTATAACTGTGCGGAGCGCTGAGGAATTTATCAAAAATGAGAAGACCTGGTCAATACAAAAAATTCATACGACTGAAGAAGGAGTAAAACGTTACTATCGTTGTAACAAAGTGAAGCTTCGGGCTGAAATTCAGTGTTCTGCCGCGATTTATCTTTTATTTGACGCATCGTGTGATGATATATTATTATTTCGTACTGAAACATGTCACGACCATGAAAATTCTGACTGTCAGTCGACTAGGGGAATAAATGAGGCAACGAAAAAGGAAATAGAAAAACTATTCGAACTGCGTTTGAAACCTAAATCTATTATGAAGAACTTAAGTAAAATTAATGGACTAGTTCTGCCGACTAAGTTACAGTTAAACAATTATCTTAAAATCATACGTAAGAAAAAATACGGGCCATCGGTAATAAGCTTGGGACAGCTTGAATTATGGTTAAAAGAAAACTCTGAAATACCTGATGACGGTCACGAAGTTTTTGTTTTGGCGTATGAAATTTCTGAAGATGATTTAGATCAGAACTTCCGGTTCATGTTAACGACGAAATATTTAATTGGTCTATCACGCCAATGTTCTGTTCTTCACGCGGATGCCACATATAAGCTCATTTGGCAAGGGTTTCCAGTACTTGTGATTGGAACTACAGACAGAGATAAACATTTTCACCCATTTGGATTAGCTGTGACAACAGCTGAACGAACGGAAGACTTCATATTTTTATTTTCCGCATTAAAAAAAGCAGTTTTCTCAATATTTTCATACACTTTAAGTTGTAAAGTTTTGGTCTGTGATGCAGCGAAGGCTATACAAACTGCCTTTGCGTGCACATTTGGAACAGATACAGTCATAAGAATGTGCTGGGCGCATGCGAAAAAGAAGATGCAAACAAGAGTAGAGCAAAGTGTGCAAAAGAAATCCCAAAAGAGATCTTACAAGATATTGATGCTTTACAGTGTGCCTCAACTCAGGAAATATTTGATCGAGCCAGCGAAAAATTTTTTGGACAAGTGGAAAGCCGAAAAAGATTTTGTTACATACTTTGAAAATGAATGGCTAATACTAAATCGTTTCTGGTATTTGGGCGCATCTCTGGGGACTCCTGCTACAAACAATGCTCTGGAATCTTTCAATAAAACAATAAAAGATGGTGGCACGCTTCGTGAGCGTCATCCTTTGGCGCGGTTCTTAGTAATTGCTTCTGATATAGTCAAGGACTGGTCTAATGAATACGTGATTAATAATACTGAGAGACGGTTCGCTCAACTGCCGACAGTATCTTTAAAGATGTGGACAGAAAGTTACCAATGGGCAAAACTGTCGAAGCAGGTGCCATTAAAGAATAGTACTGAGCTAGTTTGCTCATACAGAATTCCAGCTGGGTCGGATTTAGATTGCAAAAATTATGAAAAGCCATGGGAGACCTTTGACGAATACAAAGAGCAACATTTTAGAGAGTGGGAAGTTATAATGCCCCGAGAAAAGGAAAATTGGTTACACGGCACATGCAATTGCCCAAAGTTTCTCAAAGATTACATTTGCAAGCATCTCGTTGGATTGGCGATTCGGCTTAAGCACGTCCAGCCACCTTCAGAGGCCAGAGCTATTCCGATTGGCATGAAGCGCAAAAGAGGACGACCAGCCAAAGCTAAGAAAGCATTAATTGTGCAGTGAATTAATACAGAAGACTGATTCTTCTTAAGATTTTTTAAATGCTTATTATTAGTTTAGTTTTAAGATCTTTGAACTGTTTATTATTAGTTTTAAGAGGACTATCTTTTTAATGATTGTTTCAATAATTAAAAAGGGATTATTGAAATTGTAAGAGTTTTATTTTTTATTTTAGGTATAGCATTTGGTTGTAAACGAAACGCTCAAGATAATTTTTTTTTGTAGTGGTTAATCAATTTGGAGACAAAAGGTTAGGAGTAAATTTACTTTACTGTGTTTGGCAAAATATTTTTTTTTGCCGAGGGTAATTTACTTTAATCGGATAACGAGATTTTATTTTTTTGCATTTCATTTTAAATTAAAATATGGTTAATAATTTGGTTTTCATTAACTATTTTTGGGCTAACAATGAGTTTTTTGGAGCCAGTTTGCTTAAATAGGATAGCAAGATGTAAAAACTTTGGTTATAATTTTACATTAAAATGCTGTTTTAATTTTGGCGATCATTTACTACTTTTGGGTTAACAATGATTTATTTGGAGTCATTTTGCTTAAATAGGATAGCGAGATGTTAAAACTTAGGTTGTAATTTTACATTAAAATGCGGGTTTAATTTTGGTAATCATTTACTATTTTTGTCTGTTATATGTTACTATACCTGGTGGTAAGTTAAACATAAGCCAAAAACATTTCAGACCGAGCTCCTCAAAGAAACTATTAAAAAAATATTTATTGAACATATCCTTAAATATCCGTACGGTCTTTTTAAATTATAATTCATGTCATTCAAAAGCGTTCCATATTCGATTGTGATCTAAGATGTGCGTTCCAAATTTAAATGTTGAGCATAGACAAGTCATAAGTACATTAATAGTCACGTGATTCCATACAATTGTCACGCTTCGCTCTTGTCTACACCCCATTTAAATATGGAACGCATTTAAGATGTGAGCCTGACCTTAGAAAAAGAATAGCTTAAATTTGTTTATGGTCATATAAGACTAAAATAATAATAGATTAAAAAGCGTTTTTGATAACTTGATAAGAGAATTAAAAAGTTTAGTTACTTTTATATAAAATAATTCAAGAAGTTAAATGTCTGGAATTTCCTTTAAAGTTAGTTATAATTCTTGAAGTTCCTAGTTATAATTTTGTTTAACCGTTAAGCCGCGCAAACTGTATTATCCAACGGTTTCAAGTCCAGTTGTACATCATCCGACTTCAGTTCTTCAACCAACTCCCGTATTCTGAAAATATCAGTAAATTAATATTAATAACGAATCGATTTTTGGGTCTATGTATATTTTTCCGGGATTCGAAGCCACAACATACATTAATTATATTGCATTCTTTTAAAATGTAATCTTTCGCGTCTATCATAGATTTTACGCTGTGACAAAGAGACAGATACTTTAGTCTAAAGAGTGCAATTGGGGGCCTCATAGCCTAGCGGTCTTATTAAGTGGCAGCTACGTGAGGGGTACCGGGTTCGATTCCCGGTTCGAGGGCAAGTTTTAATTTAATTTAAATTTGTTCTCGGCCTTTGGGAGGGTTGTGCGGTACCGGGCGAGTGCCTAAACCGTACATGGAGGACATGGTCGAATTTCTTAGGCAAAAAGCACGAATTATAAAAATCTTATACTTGACGCTGGCTAATGCACAAATCGTGCCAGAGCCATTAAAAAAAAAAAAAAAGAGTGCAATTCAACTGATTTATAAACCACTTCAATAATTGTCAACTGTCACTTCTCAAATGTCAAGCTGTCAATTTCTGACCTTTCGAGATTACTACGTCTATCCCGGTTTCCTTTTGAACTCTTTGTTTATTTTTCTCGCGTGTAGTTTCCCTACCTTGAAACTGGCATAAAGTTAAAATTATTGCGAAAAAAAACGGTTTGACCCGTAAAGTATATATATATATGTATATTCGAGCGACAAAAAAAAGGGTGCGTGTACTTATGTACGCGCGTAAGAAGTTATACTTCTTTGGCATTATTAAAAATAGTTTTTGATTGCATGCAAATAATTAATTACAATTAAATAATCAAAGACTGGAAAAGGAGTCATTAAAGTTCAGTTTACATTTGAAAAATTAAATAAATAAATGTTAATTTTGTGTCATGGTGCGCGCGCATCGTAAAAATTCACTCCCATCAATTTTTCATAACGCGCCTAAAGAAGTATAACTTCAAAAATATTCTACCTTAGTCTAGTAGGTTTTTGAGTTTATTCGTTACACACATACAAACGTACAAATAACTTCCCCTATATATTATAGAAATACCTGGCAAGTTGTGTGGGCGTGACGTAAATTGTGTCATCTGTGGCACCAGCGGGCGCCGGATACTTGATTGTTCCTATGTCCACTGCCTTCGCTGTCAAAGCCTGGAAATTTAAAAACACATTGGAGTTATTAAAGTACATACAATTTTTATTTTTTCTATGTATTATAATAAGAATTATCTGTCATATAAAATGTACAGATTACCCAAGATATGATGATATCAGGAAGTCATAAATAAAATTGCGGAACTTTTAATTAAAGAACTGCTGAGTATATGTTCAGATTTAACTTGTACATTGACAAACTGCTGACACAGCTCAGCTCTTCTATATTATGTATCTGTGAATAGGTGTAAATAGTATTTAAGATATTGTTTTGTAACAATAAATCAGATTTGAATATTGTCTCATTAATTTCTCGCTTCCTCCCAAAGTGGCGAAGACTCCTTCAAGCCCTTAATTATCGTGGTGATGCCCGATAGCTTTGAGATAATCCCACCACATTGAACCTCTGGTCTAACAGGATTCCGCCTGTTACTTTAGGTCTCTTGGTGCATGGTGCGGTTCAAGTGTTACGTAACGAATTTTGTGAGGGGGGGGTCCTTTTGTAAAACGTAGCGATAACGGCAGGGATTGAATAACGCGTTATTGTTAATATTATACATAATGGTAACTTTTAGGTATAAAGAGTCACTGGGTGGTCACGAAACGTTTTACTATTGGGTACACTGGCTGGTAAGCGAGTGTACAACAAAAACTTTAGGGATTTTTAATCGATATTTAAGGGTATTTCTAAGTTGGTCCTACGGGGAATATTTTATAGTTGGCAACACTGCTTAAGCCCTTCCATCTTACAGATCGCAATTTATTTTGAAAACATTCTAAAACACATCGTCAGGGATAATGTAGGATTCTTAATTAAATATTTTATAATATTTTTAAATCAGTCCAGTAGTTTTGGAGCTTTATTGTAAAATATCCGCCATTAAGTTGTTGAATAGGCTGCCCGACTCCATACGATTGGCTACCTCTCTGTCTTCTTTTAAAACTCTTCTGTATAATCATTTCTTAACCTTATCCTATCCTGATCAATCGTGACTTGTATAATTCTTATGTTTCCTTCTGCATCACTATTCGCTGTTCATGGTTCTGCACTTCTCGCACGCATCGTGTGTCTTTTTTTTTAGTTTTTCTCTTTAACTAGGGTTGCCTGGAAGAGATCGCTTATTAGCGATAAGGCCGCCCGTTGCATCTCTTATAATTTTTATGTATTGTGTTTCTTTTATTTGCAACGAAGTGTAAATAAATAAAAATAAATAAAATATTTCTTAGTGATGTTATTGTTCATATAGACTTACAGCAGTAAGATCCGGCGCCGGGAAGTCCGTAAGGTCAGCTTCCACGCAACGCCACGGCCGGTGTACGGACAGCAACGTACGCGCATCCTGTTGCAGCGTACGCAGTCGTTCCTAAAACGTAATAGTTAATTAGGATTATTTAAACAAAGAGTGATTCTTCCAATAAATTAACTCCAAATACTGAATCGATTTTAAATTGTTCCATTATTAAACCGTTCATATATTTTCTATATTAACATTTAACATTCGCTCGAACGATGATAGAAAACATCGTGAGGAAACCGGCCTGTCTTAGACCTAAAAAGCCGACGGCGTGTGACAGGCACAGAAATCTGAGGCTGGACCTACACAGGAATTTATAAATTAAACTATAGTGAGCGCTTTAAACTGGCGTCTTCATCATCGCTATTTGGTGATGATGGAGCAATAGCTGAGCTCCAAGGAACAGTTAAACATAAGAGTACTTTAATTTAAGTTTTCATTTTTTTTTATTGTAATTTTCAAAAGTTGTAGTTTCTCTAGTTCAATTTTAAAGCATGTATTAAGGTAGGTAATATAATTAAGGTAAGGTCAATAAAAAAAGATACCTCTAGCCGTCTTCTCATCTCTCTCTGTTTCTCCTTGTGTTGTTGGAGCGCACGCGCATACTTCCCTGGTTCTTCTGGGAACTTCACGAGACCGGAGCGAGCCACGAACAACGTCCATTCCTATATTCCATATAATATTTATGAAATATTTTAGAGCTTATCAGTAAGAGAAGATCCCTTCTTATTCATCCGTACCGTTTGCAATGCGGAGAGTTGTGCTTCAACCTGAGCGGCGGCATGCCTCCGAGCGGCTGCGGCCGGAGCCCCAGGGTTCTCTAACGGGCGAAGACTCCGCACGCTCACATGTTCTGCGCGCGCGCACGCCGCTATGCGAGCCGCACGTTCGCGTTCCACGCGCCTGGAAATAATACACTGGTCATAGCCTGTTTGCCGTGTATTAGCGATGGAGATAGCGAAAGATGTCATGTGTCAAGAGATGTCGCTGCCGGCCCAATAACACGCGATATCAACACTGAAAAATTTATTAAGGTCAATGAACTGACACATACTCTCTCCAAATTCGGTATTATTAATTTACTCCTACAGTTAGTAATTAGATAATAGTGTCAATATGTCATTGTTTTTATTTATCCTAAGGTGGTATCTAAGGAGGTTCTATACACGATATCAACATATACTACAAGCCGCAACAATATCAAATAATAGTGGCGGCAGTTATGCCAGCTTGGGGGTTTTTCCCCCAACTTTTAACCCAAAAACTTTTATTAGCAGAAAAAACAAGAGAATAATTTTGCACACTAAACGTCAAATCTGATTTTATTCTTCTTTTTCTTAGTCAACCTCATTTGACTGTTATTAATAAAAATAGTATGAATGTAACCAGATTTGAAGATTTTTACATTAATAATGCCGCGGCCTAGGGCAATGAGTATGTCCTAGCAGTTTTTTAGGAAGTATATTTATTGAGGGGGTACTTTTTACAAGATTTTTTGGAGTTTACTCCTTAAGAAACGATTTGAGTTATAAGGCCCGGTACGGAAATTTTATGAGGAGTAAAATCAAGTGTAACACGAAAAGTTGAGGCGTTATGTAGAAAGAGACAAACATATATATCTGTAGGATTGAACGTGTAAAAGAATGAGATGGAATACATTACACAGACTTTTCTATTTTGAATTCACGTTTTGACAGCCACGTTACAACATTGTCAGTGTTGACAATAAAAGTAGATTGTCTAGCGTGCCATAGAGTTTTGTCAATAGTAATGGTCAGTGAAATTAAAACTAAAAAGATTGTTCATTCTTATTCTTCTCTTACTATAAAGGTAACTTTGGTCACAGAAAGAAAATCCTCTACAAAACTACAAACATTTATATTATAAAAACATATATTCTTACCACCTTTAGTATGAAAATATGGTCGACAGCCACAGAACATTATCGCCATTTTATCGTTCGTAAGGAGTAAACTCCAATCGTGCGTCGTAGCTGACACACACACACTTTTTTTTTTAAACTTACGATTCTTTACAATTTATATTAACCCAACCAACAAACTAAACCAAATAATTAGGTTCAAGCGTGCCTATAACTGAAATATATATTTTAATCTATATTTGGGATATTTTAAATTGATGCTGGGGGGACCATTCTATAGGTGTTGGCTTCACTGAAATATGCCACAAGCCGTAACAATAGTAAATAATAGTAGACATTTAAAAGCTCTTAAAATAAGGTCTAAATGAAGAAATACAGAAGAACTTACAGAAACAAAACGGTACTTACCAACTTAGGACCTTGAGCTGATGCTGAAGAGCCTCGTTGACCTCGCCAGTCACCAACCCGGGAGACACCTTCACTGGTGATTCCTCTAAAAATACAAATATTTATTGAACAAAGCACATTGAATAAGGACAAAACAATTTAGTTATTTTTACGTTAATCACATGAATTATGAATTATTATTTAAAACAAAGGAAAGAGATTTAGATGAAAGTGTGGGTTGCGACCCCCAAGTCTTAAGCACTCGCAAAAAGTAGCACTAATAATACCACATTTACCCCGGACAATGAATTGGACAGCGGGAGTATTGGTGACGATAAAATGAAGAACACGTCATCAAGAAGTACAACTATGGTATTGTCACAATAAAAAAAATAAACTTAAGTGGAAATGGGCGGGGCACATGGCAAGAGGAACTGAAAAGTGGAGCAATAAAGTAAACTGGTGCCCATGGACAATAAACGCAAAAGAGGAAGACAATTAAGAAGTTGGATAGACCAGATATACACCAGGTGATGCATGGCAGAGAGGCACAGTGCAAACAGGAATGACGGGATTTAAAGGATGCCTTTGCCAAAGAAGGGCACACAGATGTGAAAGAATAGGATGATAGAGATATAAATATATATTATATAATTATTGAAGTCGACCAGGAATTATTAATTGGAGATATACTACTGCGCATATTTGTATCTTCATGTAAGATACAAATATGCGCACCTCGATGAAACCGGGTCGTGTACAAACCGTCTTGTGTGCAAGCTCGGACGGTTTCTACCCGGCGCCGGCCAAAAACCGGGCCGTGTTGAAACCGTCTCGTGGGCATGAGCCCTTATGGTAAAGGGTAAATGTGGTATTCAAATAATTATTTTTAGGAAGGTTTAAACCGACAATACTCCCGAGTTTCTTTAAATTAACAGGAAAATTAATTTAACAGGAAGAAAAGGAAGGCATCCATACTCGGGATTCCATAATTTATAAATTATTTTCATAATAAAATCGAAAAACTAATCTTAGTCATAATTATTTTAAGACAGAAACATTCAATTACACGATTCTTAATACTTATTCAAGGGCGGATCTAGCGTTCGCGGATTGGTCACATAGTCAAAGTTCATCAAAAATCTTACATCTTTGTCTATAATAATATAAAAAAAATTACAAATCAGACTACCAAAAAGCGTGTGTGTACTTGTGTACACGCGTTAGAAGTTATCATACTTCTTTGGCTTAATAATTTTCTTCGAGCACTTTAGAGGGAGGTTTCCCTCTTCGAATTGCATTTTTCTTGTCCATTTTAATGGACACTTCCAATCGAACCGATAGAATATGTACTGTAATGATGATATTTTACAATAAACACTGTTTTTATCCCATTGGAACGGGTTTTCTCATATAGAAATCATTATTTTGGTTTAAATAAACACGACTCTGAAAAACTCTACGCCATGACAGACAATGCAACTTGTCGATAAAACAAAGCAAGCGCCAACCAGCGGCCCAGACTGTTTTACCGATGTTTGAACAGATATTCAGAGTGTCGGTATTTTGTGACGGTGTGCACGCGCATCGTAAAAATTTACTCTCATTTTTCCCTAACGCGCCAAAAGAAGTATAACTTCAAAAATTGTGACAAACCAATACCCTGGGCCGTCATAGCTCCCATGCCATGATGCCTCCGCTAGATCAGCCCTATCAAGAAAGTGGGAAGTGAAATTGTGAAAAACATCAGACTAATAATTTATCAAACAAATGTGAATTAAGAGATGGGTATCAGAAAATATTCACTCAATGTTACTATTTTGAAGTGAAAACTTCTTTAGCGGCGTTGTACACTTTTTTTGGAATGGGTAAAAAATGTTAAACTCGCGTCAGGACACGTCACCTGATCGAAAATTCGTATGACGGATGGAGAGTAGACAGCTGGCGTGGCGTATTTAATTTAATATAATGTCATGTTTGTGTACGATAGCGCAATAAATAAATATTGTATTCCACATAAATGATATTACTTTTATACTGATAATTAAAACAATTCGTGCATAATTATTCCCGTACCATTCCAAAATATCAAAAATGCACAACGTTAATATTCAAGTTTTCACTTCTGCCGGCACTCCCGGAGTGCAACCCGTCGTTTTTTATTATTTAGTATATAAACTTTCTAGTAAGTAATGGCAGGCTGCCGCATCACCACTATGTGGAACCAGCTTTCCACAGAAGTATTTCCCAACCAAGTAGGTTGGGTTGGTAGGTACCAATTCTTAAAAGACCGGCAACGCGAGCGTTCTGGCATTGAGAGTGTCCATGGTGATATCACTTAACATTTGATGAGCCTGCGTTTTGTCCGATGTCCATAATTACTCAAGAAATATCCCAATAGGCCAATTCCTGTAATTATATCAAAGTAAGAACATGCGAAGTTACCCATCTCCAATTCAAAACTATCACATGACAATAAAACATCGAGGCCATTTAAAAAGCTCCATATCCACTATGGAATTAATGGCAACAAAATTCCATGCGAAAGCGTTATGCTTACGTGGTGTATCCTTTATGGGCGTTGGTGTTGCCACCGCTAAAAATAGATTGTCTTTGGTTTTAAAAAAATATTTTTTTCGATGTTTCTAAATATATTTTACATAGTTTAAAGAGAGGCGGATTAAATTGATTTTGAAGTAAAAACTTCTTTAGCATCGTTGTGATTTGAAAGTCGATGTAAAAGCGACTGTAGAAAGAGACAGACACCTAAATATGTTTCCTATCTCTTTTTCTCCCACGTTAAATCTTATGAATATATGTGTCTGTCTCTTTCTACTGTCACTTTTTCGTTTCATCGACTTTCAAACTTTAAATTTTTTAGTTTTTATCAAAATTAAAGATTGATATTCAATTTCATACAGAGAACGCTTGGGGATGGGGCCTTTGCTGAAAAGCAAGACTCTGAGGGTGGTCTCTGGAACTATCCCTAATAAGTTCTTTTAATATTTCTATCAATAAAATTTTTACTTTAAATTCGGTTATTACTTAAAACTTATGTTTTTTAAAATAATAAAGGGTAGCATTCAATGAATATTGTATCAGTAACGATTAAAGTGTATGTAATTTTGCGGGTACTTGCTTGGCCCAGTTGAAGTACCCGCAAACTTTAAAATGTTATTTTTGTGGTAAATATTATTAATTTCGCATGCCTGTGTTTGCTGTTTTTTCAACACATAATAAATTGTATTAAAAAATTGAAAATACATTAAATTAATAATGAATGGTTAACAAAATTAGAAACAAAGTGTCTTTTTCAAACCGATATTATTAAAACTGACTTCCAATACTTGTCATATGTCAATAACTACTGAACCGATTTTGATGAAATTTAGACTCTTAAGTGATTCAACATATTTCAAATATCGGTTTGAACTCGACACTTGCATGCATGCGTTACAACATACAACATAGTCTTACGTGAGAAGTCTCGCAAACTCGGCACTGGTGGCGCCACCGCTGTGCAGTACAATCAACATTTATTATTTTTATTTTTATTTATTTAGACTTGCCGAATACCGAACCTTGGCCGGATAGCCGAATATTCGGCCAGTGTTTAAATGTCTTAATGGACATTTTCTACTATGAGTCAATTAAAATACTACAATATATTATTATATACGCAGTATATTATATAATAAAATATATTATTCCTTAACTTCAAATGACTATTACAATTCAATCAAAAATTAATAAGTATTCGGCATTCGGCCGTAATATTAAAAGCCGAGTCTTAGACAAATTCATGACCTCTAATATTAATCGATGCGTAAACTCTGTGCTGCCTGAAAATTTAGTAGACGGACTGTCTCCAGCCGTTGGATACCGGTGTCCAACCATAATACAAAACTCATTCTTACACTTATTTGTACAACCACTTGGGTATTTGGTATGCACCTGTCAATCAAGTGCCTATTCTCGTAAGACACGGGTGTCTGACAATTGGACACGAGTGTCTGACATGTGGACACCGGTGACCGACCTAGCAAGTATATACTGACCGTGGTTTCGCCCGCCAGGTTTGGCGTACATCTTAAGTTTGTCCCGCAACGCGCCCCGCTCACTCTCCAAAGAGTCGATGTCTTGTTGCAGGTGGTCCATTGTGTCTTCGAATTCCTTTTCCTTTCTGAAATTATGTCAGTCACACGTAGCGCTAAACTCTCAGACTCCGGAGACTAAGTTCAATACCAAAAAATATCTCAAGTTACAATCTCCGCTTGAGCACTGTCAAATATGTCAAATGATTTGACAGCTCTTTAAATTTGAGAGATGTTCCAGCATCCGGGACTTACGAGAATATTCAAGACTACAATATGTCAAAAGATAATGAAATTCTGACATACAGAAGTCGTACTTAAGCGGAAATTCAGAAACAAAACGCGAACTATGACACCCACTTGACAGAATCCAATGTTTTTGAATCTAAGATTATTGTATTTTCCAAGAACCTGTATGTACACCTCACCTCTTGAGCTGATTGCTGACATCTTCCAGCTTCCTCTGCAGCTCTTGCGCCTTGAGCTCCGCGTCCCTCGCGGCCGTCGACAGCTTCTTCTCCGCGAAGTCGCGGCGGATCTGCATTTCCGATATCTCCTCTTGCTTCGTCTGTTTCATTATACGAAATGTCAACTGTCATACGTCAAGTGTAGCGCACTTTACGTAGCAGAAGTTTTAATAATGTGACAGTAACAGACAATTTCACAAAACGCATATAGGAAAAAAAGTTCATAGAAGCGGAAAAATAGTTTTTTTTAACAAACGAACGTAAAATAGAAAAAATATTAAAGGCCGGCAACGCACTTGCAAGCAAGCAGATGAGCCTCCTGTTCGCCACCTGTTATATATGTTAAAAAGAACAAAGATTCGATTTCTATATAAAATAAAATCTACAGCGTAAGGAATAATAAAGATCCCAATTATAGAAGATGGTCACGTGACGAGGCCAATGTTTCTCATACAGTTTGTTAGTGGGTCACGCCTATCGTGAGCTATTTGGACACTTGGCACAAACCCTCTACGCATAGACAACAATAAAACAAAAATTACGTGCCTTGAGTATTTTCTTGAGCTCCTTTATGTCCGCTTCCTTGTTCTCGAGACGAATGGTAAGGGTCTTCGTCTCTTCCAGCTGCTTCTTCACGTGCTGCGCGCGCAGTACTATTGGTGGCGTCGGCTGGAATCGTCAACAGAAGTTTTTGAACCACAGGTATTGTTTATAGTGATACGTTAAGCTCTCGTTCAGCACAAATTGCCTGAATATCATAACTCACCATTTGACTTACTAACTTACCAACTTATTTAACGACTTATCAACTTACTTTACAACTTACCAACTTACTACACAACTTACCAACTTACTTAATGACTTATCCACTTACTTAATAACTTACCAACTTATTTAACGACTTATCCACTTACTTAACAACTTACTTAATAACTTACCAACTTATTTAACGACTTATCAACTTACTTATCGACTTACCAACTTATTTAACGACTTATCCACTGACTTAACAACTTACCAAACTGACTTACTTACTAACTTACTCGCTTCCTTGTAAGAAAATAGATGTAAATAAATTCTACATAGCCATGCTTGATGCATTGTCTGGCTTTAATTAAGAAGCCACGCCCCCCTCTCACCTTGTCCTGCGCGACGTTCGTGAGGGACATGACGTCATACTCCTTGTCCTGCGTGAAGTTGGCCAATTTGATGACGTCACTCGACACTATCGACAATCCGTGTTTAATCGTCTTCACTGGGCCGTGGTCGTCCTGAAACGTTTCAAATTATATTTCTCTATAATATACCTTTATCTGGTGAAATATCTTAAATAACTATTATTACTACAATATTTTAAAAAGCAGTGAGCAGTGCTCCGTGGGCATATTTGGAACTAATTCATTTATGTATGCAGAATACATTCTGAAACACATTTTGAGTATGATTTTATCAATTTAGAGGCTATACTTTGAATTTGATTATATTTTTGCCAATTTCATTCACTAGTTTCGCCCTCCATTTAATATTTTTAGTGAGTATTTAGAACTATTTCAAGGCAAGATACCACCCGTATCACCTCCACGTCCGTCGTTCCACAACTGAGCGTTTTTTAAGGCAGTTTTTACAAGTACTTCCGAACCAATTCGACTGAGGGTCCAAAGAGCGTAAAAAAAAATCAGTGGCGCTACAACCTCTTTAGGTCTAGGCCTCAGATTTCTGAATCTGTTTCATGATCATTTTTAAATCTAATAGGCAAGTAGGTGATCAGCCTCCAGTGCCTGACACACGCCATCGACTTTTTGGGTCTAAGACATGTCGGTTTCCTCACAATGTTTTCCTTCAGCGTTCGAGCAAATGTTAAATGCGCACATATAAAGAAAGTCCATTGGTGCACAGCCGGGGATTGAACCTACGACCTCAGGGATGAGAGTCGCATGCTAAAGCCACTAGGCCAACACTGTTCTACTACTACTTTACTTCAAAGAGCGTACAAATTCATAAAAGGCCGACAACGCACTTGCCTTCTGGCAATGTAAGTGTCCATGAACGGCGGTATAACTTAACATCAGATGAGAAGGGCCCGTTTGCCTCATATTACATAAAAAAGTAACTATATTATCAATCATAACCTCTTATTGTTCCCATACTAATTTCCTCCTCGTTATGACTGAAAATTGTTTGATTTTCCATATTAGAAATATGGGTAAGGCGGTATACTCACGCTCATTATTATTTTTATTTTATATTTAAGATAAAATTGTGTATCAACCACCGAATCAGTCACCAAACCGTTAATATTGTTTTATATAAAAAAAAGGGTGCGTGTACTTATGTACGCGCGTAAGGAGTTATACTTCTTTGGCATTATTAAAAATAGTTTTTGATTGCATGCAAATAATTAATTACAATTAAATAATCAAAGACTGGAAAAGGAGTCATTATAGTCAATAAACTTCAGTTTACATTTGAAAAATTTAATAAATAAATATTTATTATTATTCTCTTACATTAAGTGTAACATAAATTCTATTATTATTCGAATGTTGTTTTTAAATTATGTCCAATGCCGTAGCATCTTCCGTGGGCAACTTCATTCTGTTAATTTTGAGTCACGGTGCGCGCGCATCGTAAAATTTCACTCTCATCAATTTTTCATAACGCGCCTAAAGAAGTATAACTTGAAAAATTAGTAAATTTTATTTAAATGCGTTAGCTCATAAAAATGTTCATGTCAATAGTGTTAACTTCTACATTTATTGTAAATTAAATATAAAAATATAATTCTAATCAAAATATTGTCTTTGGAAACGCTTCTCTAATAGAAAATTTTCTATATAAATTAAAAACTAAATCGGTCTGTCTCTTTTCATCACAGCATAGAAACAATTTGTAAGAAAGAGAAAGAAATTACCTGCTGGTAAATTTTGTCAGTGGCGGCCGTCCAGATGGCCTGCAACTGCTGGTGAGGCAGAGGCGCCCCGTCCGCCCTCTCCCCGGCCGTGGCTGCGCACGCGCACGCCGCTCTCGCGGCTAAGGAGACCGCACGCGCACAACGCCACAGGGCAATGGCGCTTTCGCCGCGGAGACGGTCCAGGAGCTGATTTACAAAAGATATTTTAAAAAACCTATATTAAATCCTCGATGCCCATATCTCAAAAACTACTGAACTGATTTTAATGTAACTTAGATTGAAGTTAAGCTTTTCATCTCTTTTTCATAATATTTTCATCATAAATCACCTGCAGGTCAAGTGGCAAATTGGTGAGATTAACTCCAGGCGGAAGCCGCCTCCTCACGGCCTTGAGCTGCTGCTGCAGCGAAGAACTGCTGGATTGGATAGCTTCATGCAGCAGACCCAACTCTAGCTGTCTCTCGGACGCCTGCAAAATGTCACAAATTAAAATACTACACTAGACTATACGTTTAAGGTTTCAGAAACATTATTAGAGTCTGAAAGAAGATAATTGAATTATTTGAAAACTTTCAGATGGCAACACTGAATGTCATTGAATTTCTTAGGTTAGTATGATTTATTGTCTTGATACTTCATGCAATTACTCATTTTTATTTCTATTATCCGAATAGTTAACAGGTATAAAAGCCTAAACTTTGTTTTATTTGATAGAATATTTCGTTTCTTTCCCAGGATTTGATTATTCCGAATAAAGTTTTAGTTTTCCATGCAATGCTAATCATTTTAAGTATCAAGCAAGTTTAATCCACAAAATATATCAAACTTTTAGGGATACCATACTAAAATGTTTCACTTAAATTAAATCAGAATAATTTCTGATTTTAATTGGGTTATTTAAATTGATTCCCCCCCATGTAACGCGCCGTAACGTATTTCTGTACCCAATAGTAAAACGTTTAGTGACCACCTAGTGACTCTTTGTACCTAAAGTAACCATTATGTGGTGTAAAGTACTGGAAAGTCGAAAATAATATTAACAATAACGCGTAATTCAATTTCCCGCCCCGCATCGTAACGTTTTACAAAAGGACCCCCCAAAATTCGTTACATAATACTTGAACGCTCCCAATGCCAGAAGGCTCGCAAGTGCGTTGCCAGCCTTTTAATTCACAATTATCCGTTTGGTGGTTGGTAAACTTAAGGTCTCGTTACTGAATATTGCTTTATGATTAATTGGGTTCCCACCTGCAGTATCTGCGTGAGTGCGCTGGCGTCTGCGTGCAATGCGCGTGCGAGGGCGTCGAGCGCACCGCACGCGACCACTACGGCCTCGCGAGTGCAGCCCGCGCCCTCCACCTTCGCCATGCCCAGGGCTGCCCACATGGCTGACAGGTACGACCAGCAACGCTCCATGCCTGAAGTCAAAATATCATTTGTATTTTTAAATTTTCAATGAAAACAATATATATATATATTTTTATAAATATTAATGTTGTATATATTTTTTCATCTTGTTATATAAGTTATAAAAAAACATCAGCTAAACCAGAAAAAGACAAGATCAGTACATGTGATGTCTGGTTAAAAAGTAATGTCCAATATCCACATTCATTTGAAGAACAAGCTAATGACATCACTGCATTTTAAATTATTATAAAATCATTTTCCTATCAATTAAGTTCGTTAAGAATGTATGTTAATATAAAAATACCATCCAAAGCGCAGTTCTCATCCAACTCGTTGGTCTTGAGCAAATGGGCAGCTGCGTCCAATGCCCGCTCTTGAGCGGCCGCGTCGGGCAGAGCCGATGCTGCTTTTAATAACACCTCGGGCGTGCACAGCTCCAAAGCGTTGCTCCACATGCAAACCATGCACTGGAATTTAATAATAATGTACATGAAATAAAGTGTATCACAAAAGATTTATAATCACATTTAATTTTACTTAAAAACTAGTTAAAACTTAGTGACAATTTACTATAAGACACGTGGGGACAAAGTGAGACCACAGTCAATTCGAACAAAATCTACATTTTACATGTCCAGTTTCAAACGAAAAAACAAATACAACAATATTCATATTCCAAATTCAAATTTCACAGGTAACACAATGTCCACTTTGAAATGTCACAGAATAATTTTAAAAAATATACAACATTATTCACATTCCAAATTCAAATATCACATGTAACAGAATGTCTACTTTTAAGCGTAAAAAAAATACAGGAATACCCGCATTCCAAATTCAAACCAAAATATACTTGTGTGCGTCTTCTATCGTATTCCGATTGAACTTGACGATATATAATAATATTGACATTCCAAATTCAAATGAATATACCTGGATCATCATCAGCTGGTACTCCAGCTGGCACCGGAAGCTGTACTGCACAGCGGTGTGTGTCTTGGTTATAGCTTCACGATCCCACACGTTCACAGCCGGGAACCTATAATACAATATTGCTTTTAAAAAATTAACTTAATAGAAATACCCGCAAATTATTAGAGGGTAGACATTTTTGAATTGTTTCATTTTAGTTCAGTATAGTTCCTGTTCCAGACTATTTGTGAGAAGATTATATCCTTCTGTAAGAGATTGTTGCTTGCTAATACTGCTTTCAGCAGCATACAGGAATTGTTGTAACTAATCCTATTGCGGGTCAAAAGTCAGTCAGTTCATCTCATTGTTGTATTCAATATATGCTTTATTATCCTTTTTTTTAATACGGTGTGTCTTTAAAGAAAAAACTGTTTAACCGGATTGAAGTTAGTTAGTTATGTATTATTATAAATTTACAACTATTTAACATAAATTTAAACCACGTTTAAGTGCGTGGTCACCGCGACCGCACGCTGTAAAGCACGCGAAACGTCGGATAAATTTAAAATTATGTTAAATAGTTGTAAATTTATAATAATACATAACTTCAATCCGGTCAAACAGTTTTTTCTTTAAATGTGTAAAGGTTATGTAAATCAAAGACAATACTACGGTGTGTCTTATAACAGTACAAACGAGATAGTTTAAAAAGTACCTTTCTCTGATCTGTCCGAGGATAATTTCAGCTTTGGCGTTAAGCCGCTGTAGTAACAGGATAAACAAGATGGCGTCGTGGTCACCTGAAATATGCAATTGAGAAATTATATAGATTTTGTACACTGACAATTTTTAGGGATTTTGACACGACTGCTATGTTCCATGTACAGTGTACACTCTTTATAACGAAGTTATACATGGCAGAGTTCGCTAACTTTGAATTGTTGTTGGGTTTGTAAAACAGAAAACAGATGGCGCTGATTTAAATTAATTAACGTAGTTATAAATGGCGAAATTAATAATTTTATGTTAGATAACGTATACGAATGATACAAATTTTATTTCAAACAATTATTGCTAAAACATGAGTCAGTCTTTTGGCGCGAAAAATTATGAGAGTAAATATTTACGATGCGCGCGCACACCGTCACAAAAAACCGACACCCTGGATATATGGCAAGCTCGTTATTATTTTTTTTAATCGGGACAAGTCTGTAATGGTTGCATGTTAGCTATTGAACTACGGTACTCGAAAAATTTTCTTACCACCACTGGCCATGAAGTGATCAGGCAGACACGCGGCCAACATGTTGGCTCTAGCCCTGGCCTGGCTCAACTCCAGAGCCCTCAGCTGCAGGTCAATGGAGCGCGTAGAAGCTCGGGACTGCTGGACAAGGGAACCCAGCTCTGGCGGTGACCTGGCCACTGCTTCCGGAGTCTCTTGCTCCGACGGCGCTGGAGAACCTGGAATTGTAGGTTTCCTTATGATAATTCTGGCTTTATGGAGTTAATACCGTATTTTGACTTAGAATTTGTCTGTTAGATTAATTTTTAAAAAGATATTTATATTTCACGTTATATGTTGTATGCTGTATTTCCAGTTATATATGTCATGTATAACTGGCTTAAGAAAGTTGGTGGAGAGGATTGGGAGAAAAATACTCAAAACAGAGAGAGATGGAGTCAATTGGAGGAGGCCTATACTCAATAAGAGGTCCTTTGAAAAACAAAATATGTATATGTATGTGTGTGTATGTGTATGTATATATATAATGTGTGTAATGTGTATATGTATGTATTGTGTGCGTGTGTATATTTTGTAACTTTTTGTAAATTTTTCAAGGAATAAATGAGGCTTAATTATTATTATTATTATGTCATACGTTATATGTTATATATTATATATATATAAAGCGTATAGTTCGGATAACTTCCAATATAGCAATTTCTATGCGATATAATTGAGATTTACAGAGTACCAGTGCTGAGTTCGATTTTCAAGGAAACTAGAGACAATAAAACAGCTCAAATGAATGCCCCATGCCCCATTCGTTCTTCTTTAGACAATACCTAAACTTTTTGCGTTAAAACAAATTTTTACCAATCTTGGAATCGAGCTGATTCCTCATGTCGTTGTGTTGTTCCGTCATCCGTTGAACGAGCTCTCGGAACTTCACAATCGTGGAATCACGATCCAAGATCGTCTCCAGTGCTGCTTCTCTTTCTCTTACCGCCTGAAAAAAGAAAATTACGCTTTCATCAGAAAATAATTAAAAAAACCTCAGATAATTAAATTATACCTGTAAACATTATTATTATGCATGTCACTTCTGGGAATATGAAGGATATAGGTACGTACATATCTTATAAACTACTGAACCGATTTTGATGAAAATTTGACTTACCTAAGTTAAAATGAATCATTTTGAGTTAAGTTCGGTGGCAATTGTATATGTTCAAATAATACTTTGTTTTAAGCTGGGTAACAACTTATAACTAAGATAACATTAGGTGTGAGGGGGGTTGCAACGCTAACAAAATTTGGAAATAAGTATATTATATTACAACTTATAGTGGGGAAAACTAAAGGACTCATTTTGGCTTTAAGTGTGCGATGATTGCTAACATTTGGGTTGCGCTTCTAATTATTGATTATATAACTCTAGATAAGACTTATTTTCTTTATAGAATGGCAAACGATAAAACAAATTTAGTGGGTGCGTTGCCGAGTATACTCTTTGTTTAAACAATTGAAGGTCGTATTCTCTAGTACGCAAAAGAAATTGTCTTACGGTGCGTACAGACTATATAACAAAACATGTTATACAACATGTTTCAGATAATGTGGACACTGAATGTTATAAAACATGTTATAATAACATGTTATTGATATGCAGCAGCATCTACGTTTTTTTGTTTTTCTTTTGTTATTTAAAATGGTTATATAACATTGTTATATTGCATTGTTATTCTAATGTGTACAGTATTGTTTTATGTTATAATGTTGAATAACAAGGTTACATAATGTGGACCTGTTTATAAAGCACAAGTTATATAATATGTTACATAGTCTGTACGCACCCTTATGAAGCGGAAGTATCGAAGAAATTAGCCATTAAAAAGTCAGGAATCATTATCCTCGTCATCTCACCTCTCTAGTTGCAGCGTGAGCCATCTCCAATTCCTCCCGTAAGTCCATTTCGAGCTCCCGGTTTGACTCCACCAGCTGCTCGTGAATCTCCTGCAACGCCTCCAGCTCCTGGACATCTTGTTTCAGCTGCTCCACCTGGAATTTTTAGAAAAGCACACATATAAGAATCGTTGTGTCAGGCACAGCTGGCTTTTTGTCTATCTATAAATATATAAGGACTTTAGAGAGGCAAAGGCGGGACCATTTTGGGGCCCTAAAAGGTTGAGAAAAACTAATCTAGACTAACCTGATCTTCCAAGGACATCTTCTTCTCGGCCAACTGTTCCACCATCTCTTCAGCGCCGAGGGCCGCGTCCACCTGCTCCCGAAGGTCTCCCACTTGCGCTTCCAGCTCTTCCACACGCGAGGACAACTTCTCTTTAGTCCTGCTGAGCTCTGCTATCTCCGATTTGTATTGATCTATATCCTAAATTAGGTCATAACTCTTTAGTTTACGATATTTAAAAAAAATATAAATTCTATTGACAGAAGAGACAGCGTGAGAAGATAGAACAAGAGATGAGAACCACGATAGTGTTGTTCTTGTTTTATTTATTTTAAACACTCTTCCGAATAGTCCAGATGTATTTGTTCCAATATTAAATACCAAATGAAATGTTGTATAGCTTATATTATTCTAGACATTCATTTAAGGATCCAGAAAACGCAAGAAAAAAGAGAATAATCTTTAGAGTTACGTGGGCACTACAGTAAAATAAAGTTTTTGAGAAATTCAGTTCTGTTAAATATCCAAACATTACAACTTACAAATTATTAATTAGGTTTTTTATATAATAACTATACTAATATTATAAAGAGGAAAGATTTGATTTTTTGTTTGTTTGAAATGAATAGGCTCCGAAACTACTGGACCGATTTCAAAAATTCTTTTACCGTTGGCTTTTAACTTGAATAATCTAACCCAAGGTGTAAAAAAATAAACAAAAAACTTCCTTCAATCGCGTGCGCTGCGAAAACTATTAATGATGGAACAAAATGATGTATTACAATTTTTCAGGACACATCACTATCTATAAAAAATGTCGCGATAGCATGTCTCTATCTTTAATAGTTACGTCACAATAAGCGTCGTTTTATTAATTTTTTTTTATTAAAATACCACCGCTAAAAAAGGCTCTTTATTCGTACCTAGGTATTGATCCTTATCAAAATAAATACCAACGTTTCACATAAGCTACAATTTAATGGCATAACCACCAAAAAAGCATGGTGGATTGGTGTTCTCCTGCCGTTTCTCTTGAATAGTTTACTACTATGTAATATAACTAAAACCTCAGCCACAGCAACTGCTTGGTCGAGTCTACTAGTTATGTATATAAAAATAGGGGGGGCAAAATACCAAAGTTACTTCAACAGACCGCAGCGCATAGAGGGAAGAGAAATCTGTTTAATGAATATACGCCCGGTTAAAAGTACGAATGGTTTGTGGGTTACCTTATGAACTTTCTGCATAGCATGCTTGTCGTGTGCTATGAGGTCCCTCAGACAAACGAGTGTCTCTCGGAGCCTCGTGTTCTGTTGCTGGAGTTGCCTCACTTCGTAGCCAGTGGCCCCATCCCCCGCTGCTGCGTACGGGTGCTCTGGTCAGCGGACGTCACACTTTATACATGCGTGCCCCCTTGACACGTCAGTCACACGTGATCACTTGTTATATAGTCATTTGTCAAACGTAACTGCTAATGCAGATTGTCAATTTGGTTTGTCACTCAAATACTACGGATAAATTAAAATAAAAAATAAATCATTGTCGCTACAACCTTTTTAAGTCTGTGCCACCAATTTCTGTACCTGTTTCATCATCATTTGTCAATCAATACGTAAGTAGGTGATCAGCCTTCTGTGCCTGACAGGCGCCGTCGACTTTTTGGGTCTAATGCAAGCCGGTTTCCTCACGATGTTTTCCTTCACAGTTCAAGCGAGTGTCAAATCCGGGGATCGATATGATCGCAGGGATGAGACACTAGCCCCTAGGCCAACACTACTCTACCACTGATAAATTACGAAAACCAAAATCATGATTCACATAGATAATACATAGATTACATTAATTGCCAGTTATTAAATCAGGGGCATAAACCGACGAAATAAACTGGCAATAACTCTCGTTCACCCATATTAATCGCTTGGTATTTTAATTTTGCAAATAACTGCGACCGTGACTAGGCTCCACATCTCTTAAAATTAATAATTTAGTTTAAAGTTGTATTGGGTATTAGGAATGGGCAACTAAGAAGTAAAACTATATGGGAAGACCCAAGAGGGAAAAGCGGGCGCCTCAATAAAAGGCGGATAGAAGCACTAGTAGGAAGCGAATGGAGAAAGAAAGCCATAGACAGCGTCAGATGGAAAAACCTGGAGGAGGCTACCCGTGAAGGGGTTCCGATAAACGGTACTGAAGGAAGTTAGGATACTACCCTAATATCCTAGACAAGAAAAATTAAAAACGACGGGTCGCACTCCGGGAGTGCCGGCAGAAGTGAAAACTTGAATATTAACGTTGTGCATTTTTGATATTTTGGAATGGTTAGGGAATAAATTTGCACGAATTGCTTTAATTATCAGTATAAAAGTAATATCATTTATGTGGTAGAATCATTGATATACAAAAACCCAAGATGCACAATCAACGTCTAAAAAACGTCCTCAAAAAATGAGCGCAACATTCTAAATTGTGCGCTCATTTCAAATAGTCTCGCGTCTATAAGTGGAGTCGATGTTATTTATTTGTGTTTTTTTTATAAATAAATTTATGTACTCTTGAACTTTTTTGTGTGTAGTTTTTGACAAATATATTTACGCTATATAAAGTGTGGGTCAGGAGGTAGCCAATTTAACATTTTTTTTTAATTTAAAGAAAAAACTTTTTAACCGGATTAATGTTATGTATTATTATAAATTTACAACTATTTAACATCCAACACCGTGACCACTCACGCTGTAAAGCACCCGAAAAGTCGGATAAATTTAAAATTATGTTAAATAGTTGTAAATAAAAAAGTCATGTTCGACTCCACTCAATACCTTGTCCTACCGACCACGGTCGGTCGTAAAATTTTATTGCTTTAAGTACGTATACACTGCGTTGTAATAACAACTTTAAGCAATTCGCGTAAGGTTGATTTTGCAAAAATATATGCTTGTAACATATACTGTTATGGACAGAAATAGTGTTTCGGGACACTTTCGAGCGTTACTTTTATTCGAGACTGTGCATCTTGGGTTTTTTGTATATCAATGGGTAGAATACAATATTTATTTATTGCGCTATCGTACACAAACATGACAATTTATATTACATTAAATACGCCGCGCCAGCTGTCTACTCTCCATCCGTCTTACGAATTTTCGATCAGGTCATGTGTCCTGACGCGAGTTTAACATTTTTTACCCATTCCAAAAAAAGTGTGCAACGCCGCTGAAGAACAAATCTAAGATGTAAATTCTACTTTTGTAGTAATTAGAAGTTTTTTTATTATTATTATAACTACAAACTATACTGTTTCAGTCAGAAATTCTAGTACTTTACATGAGGGCTTGCAATTGATTTAGTACAAAACAAATTCGTACCCTCTCTTACGCCCTCTATCTCTGGTGTTATGCATATGTAAAATATTCAATTAAAATTAAATGACAGTTGTGTTATGTCATGTGTCAGTGTCAGATATCCGAGATCTCCGGTCACAGTCACCAAGGGGGCGGGTTAACAAAACACAACATGCAACATACATGGTAACACATGCCACAAAAGAATACTTTAAATAATACTAGATTCACAGTGCCAAAAGGATATTGCCAATCATAAATTATAGATTCGGTAAATCCAATCAAGAGTAAGACTGCTTTGAACAAAAGCACTCATCGTACATTTCATCTAAGTATGTGATTAAAAACAATAAATATGTATTGGTCCCTCACTATACCAATCGTTGACTCTAATTAAAAACACAATACAATATTTTCCTCGATACAAAAAAAACAGTCACCCCTTTTTTGCCTATTTTCGTTTATATTTAATCATGGCGAGTATAATGGAGCCAAAACTTAATTGAATTACAGTACATTAGATTAGCCGAGAGCGGTTACTAGAGATTTTTTTTAATTATTATATATTTTACGAGTTATTGAAATTTGGCGTTTACTCCATTTCACTGTAGTTTTTCTAGTCACTAGAGCGGGCGGAGGTAGACGCGCGGGTGAAATCATGAATTTTGCTACCCTAACGCGCTTTTACTGTATTTTTATAAGGAATAATGTAATTTTTTCTAAATTTATATTAAATAAACTTACTAAATGATTACTATTCAACAATATACTTGTCACTCGTCTTTATATAACATAACCATTTGATTTCACGATTATTTATTTATGGACTTTATTACAAATATTGCAATTTCACGGCAATGATCTTCAAATATTATTGTAAAATATTTTAATAACACATTATTAATGTAGTAATTCGTGGCTAATTGATCTCATATGAAACAAAACAATGAAATGCATTAATTAGAATGATTGCTATTTAAAATATCTCGATGAAAATGTAACAAAAACCCATTCAAACGAATTTAAATCATCCACAGTTCAATGACTGACGGTGAATAACCGTAAGCTAACGGTCATTAACCTCAGGGCAATGACCTCAAACCAACTTATCAGCTGTTCAAAAATTTATACGTAGTTGATTTGTAGTTTTTTCAATAACGTAAGGTCATTCACCTCAGGGGAATCACTTCCAACGAAGTTATCAGCTGTTCATAGAAAATTTTACTAACAATAATGATTTTGTAGTTTTTATTTATCTGTTTTCGTTTAATAGTCTGCTTAATATACAGCTTTAGGTATATTTAAGATACTTTGAATACTATGGAATACACATACATTTCATTTTTAGATCTGTCAAAATATTATGAAGCTTGGAATTTATGACAGCTCTCAAAACAGAAACGAGAAGGAACCTAAAATATTCATCACAAAACTGTCAATTGCACCGTGGATAACATTTGTATTTTTACCTTCAAGAAGTTTTTGTTACATTCAATGGCTGACTATGCTTAAATCACGTACACAAAATTATACGTACACGTTTTAATTGAGCGAACATTTCTATAAAATAAACACAAAAAGCTTACAATAATATAGACATGCTTATGATGCTAAGTTTTAAGTTATTAAGTAGGCAATTAAAATAATTTGCAAAAAAATAAACAAAATGACCTCAATAATTAAAAGCTTCGTAAAAGGACAAAATCATAGTAGCTGACGAACAAAATGCGAATTTTGAAGCAATTTACGGTATAAGTTAAAATTTAAAGTCAAAGTCAAAACATTTATTTCAATTAGACCACCTAAAATGGCACTTCTGAACGTCAAACAAAATACAAAGAAGATTCTAGTTGCCCCTTCCAAAAGGTAGTTTCGTGTGGAGAAGAATGGGCAAGAAACTCCACACTTACTCTTTTAAAATAGGTTTACAATATTTTGTTACACTTTTATGTTAAGAAAATTATTTTATTTTAAAGCTTAGTTTATATTTCCATCAATAATTCAGTGCTACACTTTAAATTTTTTAAATAATTACTCAAAAAGATAATAAATTCGACAAAGTTCAACTATGTGAACCACATTTCCAATATAATGTTAACTACTTTTTTAAATGAATCAGTGGCGCTACAACCTCTCATGATCATTTTTAAATCTAATAGGCAAGTATGTGTTCATCCTCCAGTGCCTGAAACACGCCGTCGACTTTTTGGGTCAAAGACATGTCGGTTTCCTCACGATGTTTCCTTCACCGTTCGAGCTAATGTTAAATGCGCATAGAAAGTCCATTGGTGCACAGCAGGGGATCGAACCTACGACCTCAGGTATGAGAATAGCACGCTGAAGCCACTAGCCCAACAACCAATAATATTTTGTAAAGATTCGCTAATAATTAATAGTGTACATACATTATGAGCTAAAATTATGTTGAACCGTAGGAAGGACGCGAGGCATCGCAACTCTCACGTTCACCTAGCTATAGTACTCGCAGACGTTTAGCTAGCGAATGCCACTCTTAATCTCGGTATTAGCCTTAAGGGCTCAGCTCGGGCTGTTTTGACGAGCGTAGCTCGGCCGGAAAGGGCATCTCCTGCGCGACTCGGAGCTCGGCTTGGGCCGTCGCGGGGTGGTCAATCGCCTGAAGGGCAGGAAGAAGCTCGAAAGAACGTTAAGGTGATTGGATTATCCGGATCCGTTAAGACGTGTCGTCTTTTTTGTCGGGGATGGGTAATAATTGATACTTTTACGCACCAACGTGCTGGGATGATGTTTAGCCTTGTCGAAGGGGCTAGGTGTACGTTGCGTATACGCGTATTAGTCGTAGTGTGCTATTGTTTACGCCAACGCGAGTCTGTCGCGTTACAATACTAAAATAATTGGAACTAAAACATTCTCATGTAAAAATTTATTTTCTAACTTTTGGAAGATTAGAAAAATACTTTTTTTTTATTCCAATGCTACTTACGTATTTTGATATTCTTTTTGTTGTTAATGCAAAATTGATTTGATTTATCATTTTTTGTAACCATTTATAGCATGGCATCTCCTATAATAGTTCCCAAATTCTGAGATAATGAAATCTAAATTTTTTATAATAAAGACTATAGATGCAAATAAGAGACATTTTGTTCGTCAGCTGAGTTTCCTACGTCCTAACAACTGTCAACTTACGATAATGGCCCTGGGTCATATTCTCTGTTAAAATTACACTTTTATAAATTTCAAAACTATTTTACCATATTTAATCTTTATTATATAGCTTCCATAATTGGGGGATTAAACTTTTATTAATTCTCTAAAAGACAGTTAATTCGAGATCCCTCATGTGTTAAAATATGACATTTACCAAAAATTTTATGTCTGTCATTGACACATGTCAAACGATTTGACAGCTATAATACAACAATCGGATATTGGCACTCACGTATATTTCCGCCAGCTTCCATTTCCGCCCTCATCAGCTGCAGGTCCAGAGTTGCCTCCTCCAGCTTCTCCCTGCACTGTTCCAATTCCAGCTGCAGCGCTTCCGACCTCTCTTCGGCCATTTCCTTGTCGAGCGCTGCCATCTCCGCGGCTTCTTGTAGCTCTGCCGTTTCATCGTTGTGGACTGTCAAGGCTTCTTGAGCTTCACGAACCTGTTTGTAATAATTAAATATCGAATTTTATCTATCTAATATATTATTTATACTATCGGACCCCACAGATGTTGTCCTGCATGATATTTCAAGCGATTAGGATATTAAACAAACAATGAAAGTACCGACTGTAGCGTCATCTGCTGGGCTGATTTGTGAATCTAAGAGCGTCCAGGCTATCCAGGGCGTCACCCAAACGCATACAAAAAAAAACGACGAGTTGCACTCCGGGAGTGCCGGCAGAAGTGAAAACTTGAATATTAACGTTGTGCATTTTTGATATTTTGGAATGGTACGGGAATAATTATGCACGAATTGCTTCAATTATCAGTATAAAATCATTTATGTGGTAGAATACAATATTAATTTATTGCGCTATCGTACACAAACATGAAAATTTATATTACATTAAATACGCCGCGCCAGCTGTCTACTCTCCATCCTTCTTACGAATTTTCGATCAGGTCACGCCTGACGCGAGTTTAACATTTTTTACCCATTCCAAAAAAAGTGTACAACGCCTATAAAAAAAAAAAAATGTTTGACGTGTAAAAGTGTTTGTAAAAACCTACTTACAGAAATAAATCATAAATCATAAAGAATTTTTAGTATTTTTCAAATCGGTCCAGCCGTTTAAGAGGAGTTCAGTGACACACGTTCAGCAGAATTATAAATATATAAAGATATTATATACCTACATATTAGCTCATACAACTTCTTCTTGTCTCCCTTTCTAAGTTTTTAAGTATTTTACCTTTTTAAAAAAAATTATTGATTATTATTTAATATGTATTTTATCAATATAATTTTCGTACACCCTCTGACGATATATGCAGCACGCATTCTATTTTTATTTATTTATTTGCTCAACGGTATTCCTACAGCTACTTACTAAAAAATATTCAAACAATTACACTATACACAAAAGCCAAAAACGGAATACACATTTAAACATACACAAAGCACAGTTTCACCTATACAAATACAAAGAATATATGTATTTATAATAAATTCTAATTTCTAAGATTCATTGTTCATTATAATATATTTAATACAAAAGAGGAATAACAAAGCCTTTCTATCTAATAAAGGATTCTAGAGTTTTTATATAATTTCTTAAGCTTTTTTTAGATACATTACATATATCTATTTGCTGGTAATTTGTGTTATAATCTGAAGGTATACGATACATCTGTCAATGTTATGTCAAACGCCATAAGGTTACATCAAAAAAGTTTCAATTGTATGGTGGTTATTTATTCTTAAATTTTCAATAAACCATATTTCTTGACTCTTAATCATGACCTGCACTTCCCTACAAATGAAATCCAATCTCACCTCTTGTTTAGCCCTTTGCAAGTCCCGTTGGAGCTGGGCTTGGGACTCCATAATCTTGACCTTGAACTCGTTGGCTTGCTCCAGCTGAAGCCGAACGCGCTCCAGCTCTCGGATTTTCTCTCTATCTTCTGCGCGACGGACCTTAATCGTTTCCAGCTTCTCTTTAAGATCTTCCACTTCGATTTTGAGGTTTGTTATCTGAAATTCATCTACAATGAATATGGTGTATTCTCTTACAGCTGAGAATTTTGTACAGAAGGCGATTTCTAACCGCCGATACAAGGAGATGTTTGTGGTCATATTGAAAAAAACCTAAACCTAAAAATATAATATTTAACTAAAATACTATTGCGCATATTTTCAGTCGGTTTCACTGATAGATAAAAGAAAAAGAAATTAAAGCCCATACCTCTTGTTGCGCCTGCATATTCGCCAATTTATCTTCAGCTGATGGTTGTGGCGAAGTGATACTTTGGCCAGGAGTAAATTGCGGTGTCAAGGTTTCTACGAAGCCCGTCTGGAAATATTTGAAAAATAATTGTATTTATTTATAAGTTATCTTACAGCACACATGTTATAAAAGAACATACTCAAGACAATAAACAAAGTCAAAACAGATGCTACTACTGCTAAATAAAATCAAAATCTTTTTGTGAAACGTTACGATGCGGGGCGGGGATTGAATTACGCGTTATTGTTAATATTATTTTCAACTTTCCAGTACTTAACACCACATAATGGTAACTTTTAGGTATAAAGAGTCACTACTCACTAGGTGGTCACGAAACGTTTTACTATTGGGTACAGAAAAACGTTACGGCGCGTTACATGGGGAGGGGTTTCAATAATCTCCAAAAATTGCGTGACGTAATACTTGAACGCTCACTAAGGCACATGGGACAATTGAATATCATGTCGCATTCAGGGGAGGGATTTTTAATTAAATTAATCAAAATTCAAGCAATCACTGACTTTTGTTTAAATTAATTTTTGAAATTTTTTTTTGTATTTTTTTTTTATAAAAAAATAATAATATAACAATATGTAATTTTTGTTCATAGTTAGACATACATCTTAATATATATAAATTACGTGTCACGTTGTTTGTCCGAAATGGACTCCATAACTACCGAACCGATATCAATCAAATTTGCACACACAATTTGTGTAGTTTGATCCAACTTAAAAGATAGGATAGCTTACATCTCAATTTATACCCGCAATATTATTTTATTGCAAAATATTTGTTTATTATTTGATAGTCACAATTCAAACAGATGGCGTTGTGTTTAAAGTACCAACGTTTCACATAAGCTACAATTTAATGGCATAAGCACCAAAAAAGCATGGTAATATAACAAAAACCTTAGCCACAGCAACGCTTGGCCGGTCTGCTAGTATATGATAAATGTTTGTTTTTTGTAGTAATGCTCACATAGCAATTACAATTATAAAAATGAATAATAAAAATCTTCAGATAAGCAGTGTTGGCTGTGCACCAAAGTACTCTCTATGTGCGCATTTAACATTCGCTCGAACGGTTAAGTAAAACATCGGCAGGAAACCGGCTTGCCTTAGACCCAAAAAGTCGATGGTATGTCAAGCACAGGAGTCGGTTCACCTACTTGCCTATTAGATTGACAAATCATGAAACAGATACAGAAATCTTGGACCTAGACTTTAAAAGGTTGAACCACTGTTTTAATTTTCATATGTGTGGATCCATGGGTCCCGGGTTCGATCCCCGACTGAGACAAACATCGATGTGATAAGCATTTGGTGTTGTGCTTAGGTCTTGGGTGTTTAAATATGTATTTATATGTCTATCTATCTATAATATGTATGTATATCCGTTGCCTAGTACCCATAACACAAGCTTCGCCAGCTTAGCATGGGACTAGGTCGATTGGTTTGAATTGTCCAATTTAAAAAAAAAAGTGTGTGTGTGTCAGCTACGACGCACGATTGGAGTTTACTCCTTACGAACGATAAAATGGCGATAATGTTCTGTGGCTGTCGACCATATTTTCATACTAAAGGTGGTAAGAATATATGTTTTTATAATATAAATGTTTGTAGTAGTAATAAAACGTACCTACATCATCTATGCCCAAATAGGATTTTCTTTCTGTGACCAAAGTTACCTTTATAGTAAGAGAAGAATAAGAATGAACAATCTTTTTAGTTTTAATTTCACTGACCATTACTATTGACAAAACTCTATGGCACGCTAGACAATCTTCTTTTATTTTGTACACCTGTCAACACTGACAATGTTGTAACGTGGCTGTCAAAACGTGAATTCAAAATAGAAAAGTCTGTGTAATGTATTCCATCTCATACTTTTACACGTTCAATCCTACAGATATATATGTTTGTCTCTTTCTACATAACGCCTCAACTTTTCGTGTTACACTTGATTTTACTCCTCATAAAATTTCCGTACCGGGCCTTATAACTCAAATCGTTTCGTAAGAAGTATAACTTCAAAAAAAAATGTTTGATTTGATTTACCTCAACAAACGAAGATCTCTTAGTTAAATCTGGTGACGAGGCGCGCTCAGTCGTCGGCGAGATGAAGGACGACAATGATTGGCGGCTACTCGCCAACGATGTCCTGGAACTGATAGACTTATAATCAATATAACATTCAGAATATTCAGCCAACATGTACATCGACTTTTAAATTGTAAGCCGAGTGGAAACTTACCGCGAACTGTACACGAGTTATTCGCGGTACTTTCCTTCTCTGGACTTTACTCTGTCTTAGTGGACTAGTTCTGACATTTATAAAGCGTAGGGATTTTAGACGAAGTCACTTAGGGAGCGTTCAAGTATTACGTAATCACATTTACTGCATTACACCCCCTTCCTCTTGTCAGCAAAAGTAAGCAAAGCTCTCAAAAATAATAGTACATAAACGTATTATTTTTTTGTAGGAATCCTCGAAAATGCATTTTGTTTTCAAGCATAGACAATGTGTGGGTAATATGTGTAAACAAGTAAAGACTCCCCCACTATGGCGCTTATGTAATACTTGAACAGCTCCACCTACGCTCTATAAATCCATTAATTCCAATATTGCCTATATTTAAAACAAAAGCTAGTGCAAAAGTGCTTAGTGGACAAAGCAAAGTTCTGTGACGTGATGATGTGATGTAAGGAAGACTTAGAGCTGTACTCCCTTCTTCAAAAAAAATATGTTAAGTAAACTACTCTTGCGTGTCATTGTGTTAACACTGTGATGAAGAGACAGAAAATAAATTATTACATTTTTTGGCTTTTAGTAAATTTGTTCCACTTGTATTTGCAGGTATATCTTAAAATGTAGAAGACAAAAACTTCTTTAAACTCTATTCTACTCGATTCGCTTTACATTAGTTATGCTAGAAGACTGATCGCCAAAAAATTATCAATCTGTTACATTAGGAACGAGATTGCTGACCTGTCGAAAGTCCTGTTTTATTAAATCTTAGTAGACATTTCAATCAACTAAGTTATTGAGTTTTTAGTAGTATCACGTTTAAATATCTAACATATTTTTCATACACAAAGTAAAAGTGCAGTGCGCCTGTGCATAGCCCACGAAATAGACAACATGGAAGGGTATTGTAGTCAACGCAATTCCGCGCAAAGAAAATCACGAAACTAAATGATCTATATAAATCTATCTATCTATCTAATGATTCTACTATAGACCCTTCCAAATATCCAAATCGTGTACCTGTGTACGTTTTTACAGCAAAGACAAGATTCAATAATCATAGCATAGCATAATAAGAAAATTATTAAAATTAACAATGCAATACAGCTAGTTCTATTACAAATTCCCAAAGAATTTCGTCTTAACATTCTCAATATACCACAGACAATAACAGAAAACTCGCTTACAAAAACTTAAAAGAATTCAAAGATTGCACGTACCAGCGATTTAGGCTAAATTAAATATAACTTATTAACCACGCGAATCCATTACATCGAGAGTATCTTAAGAATACTGTTAAGCATAACATATAATAAAATGTCATTAAATTAATAATTAATTCGCGTTTATATCTGTTACATAAGTCTTAATGAAACGTATAGAACCAATAAAAACATAGGCTAATTTAAAGAATATATAGTAGCAGTCTTGAGAAAACTTTGAATTCAAGAATTTACCTTTGCAGCAAGAATATAGATAGCATTACAAGTCAGGCATGCAACATGTCCATATATAGACAGTATATAACAAGAACTCTGTATTTTAAATGTAAATTTAGGAAACTGAAGATAGTTGTATTAGCCATCTTAAAATAAATTGAACAGCTGATACGAACAGTTAAGATTTCATGACCATTGAATGACCCCAAGTTTGAAAAATAAACTCGTTTTTTTTTGCGAAGTTAAACACAGAATTTTTGTTACAACTGCATATGCCCAATTAAAAACAAAATTACATTCAAAATTAATCACTGTTTACTAAATTAAATTAATTAAACAAATTAAAACTAAAGCGCATCATACAAAGTTACAGGTGTGTCAAAGATCGATGGAACCATGTATAGGGAAGAAAAAAATATATAAAATAAAGAAACTATGTATTAAGAAGAATGAACGTAGCACATTGGTAAGGGTAACAGAAAAGTGGACGAAGAATTTACTAAAAATAAACGCAAAAGAGAAAGACAATTTAGAAGGTGGGTAGACAAGGTTAAGGAAACAGCAGGTAGTAGTAGAAGAGTGGCAGAGTGCAGACAGAAACGGCACGATTTGGAAGAGGCTTTTAAAATAAGGAGATATTTATAAACTGAAAATTACAAGGTGAAAATATAATCTTCATAATTAGCTATTATAAGTACAAACAAGAAAATTTGTAATAGTTGCAATATTAACCAAGCACGATTTCTAATCGTGAACATTTTCGTAAAGAAACGTCAAATGACATCTTGATTGATACGTGCTCTCACAGCAATACTGACGTAAACTAATATCAAACAAACAAAATAGCGTATACATAAAAAGCTTCTAGAGTACCTACAGACATTATGTACTAAACGTTGTTATATATAAGAGGTGGTAGTACGCGTGAATAGACCGCTTAACGCTCTATACCAGATATTTATATATTACTATAAAGTTTTCATTAATATAAAAAAGATATACTGTGTAAACTCCTTATAACAAATTTCAAGGGACCGATCATTTGTTTTCGTTATATGGAAGGGAAAAAAAGAAATTTAACCAATTACAATAATTGCACACGTGTTAATGCAATTAAGAATAACAAAGGCGAGAAGGCTGTTTATGACCTCAGGTGTCTTTCTTAGAAATTTCGCCACCTCAATAGGTTAGTTTTGTAAGCTGATTATAAAAACAATTACATGTAGTATGTTGTTGATGTCTAAATATGAAAATATTTATTTATTATAGAGAGTGGATGTTGCGTTATAAAGAGTGATTGATTGAGATTAATGTATGAGTTTTGTGTTAAACCAAACAAATACTCATTTTTACGTTATAGATAGTTGGTCGTTATAACGAATGACGTCATAAAGAGTTCACACTGTATATAGAATTAAAAAAACTTTACAGAAGATTATATTTGTCCACGATGTTTCAGAGGGGCAAGTAGCATCCCTCATTTAGTTTTTATTTACAATCTCTAAGTATTTAACGACACAACCTTTAATTTTAAAGTGTTTATTAAAAGAGCAGTGTTGGCCTAGTAGCTTCAACGTGCAACACTCATACCTGGGGTCATAGGTTCGTTCCCCGGCTGTGCACCAATAGACAATTAACACTCGCTACGGTGAAGGAAAGCATAGTGAGGAAACCGGCTTGACTTAGACCCAAAATGTCGACGGAGTGTGTTTGTTAGTGCCTATTAGATTGACAAATGATCACGCCACAGATACAGAAGTCTGAGGCCCAGAACTAAAAGGTTGTAGCGCCATACATGTAAATTTAATAAACCAAACGTCTCTAGGTACTACAAGCTACATAATTTAAAAAAAATCAAAATGTGCTCAAATTTACATGTGCAGTAAATATATAATGTTACCTTGACATCGATAAATTCCCGGCTTTCGACTGCGCTGGCGACGGTTTGCGACGCACCCTTTAATTTATTAGTTAGTACACATCTATTAGTCTTACAAGTTTTAAAATATGTGCATTAATTAATATGCATGTGCAAAGTACGGCGTCAAATTCTCAAGCAATTCGTTAAAAGTGGTACAACAAAAACGGACACAGTACACATATTACAAACGCATTGATTTGTGCATCAGAGTGTGAACGTCATGTAATTATTGTAACAGGCACCTCAAGCACGAGTTCACGATATCACGACATACTAACGTGAAGAAGAAACGCACTACTGTAAAAGACGCTTCATCTGATCAAAATGCCTGAATTATCATGAAAGCGCAGTCTTTTAAGAGCGTACCAATTATTTAAAGGCGGCGCATTTGCGAGCCTTTTGGCAATGTGAGTGTCCATGGGCGGTGGTATCACTAAACATCAGATGAGCCTTCTGCCCGTTTAGCCCAGGTATTAAAAAAAATTACTTTAAATATTGTTTTTGTTCAATTATTTTAGTGTTATTTGATAATAAAATATAGTAATACAACTCTAGCGTAGCTATATTCATTAAATAAAGAACAGTAGCACTATTAATATAAAATTGAATCGACTACTCAACTAAATATAACAAAAACGTAAACGAAAAACTAGATTATCGTCAATCTATCGCCTTAATTAAAAACTCATGCTTGAGATAAAGTTGGTATTTGTTCTACTTTGCTATGATATGCCGGTGATATCTATGATGACAGCGAACTATTAACGAAAAAAACGTTTTCAATACGAATCCTAATCAAAAGTTTTACTAAATCTATGCGGTAAATGCAATATAAATATATCCGTTTAAGGCCGGCAACGCACTCACGATCCTTCAGTCAATGTGTCTATGCGGTATCACTTAACATCAGGTGAGCTTTCTGCCCATTTGCTTTAGAAAAAAATATCTCGCGCAAAAAAGACACCACTTTATTTATTCAAAGAACAATACATAAGAACTTGATGAAAAAACTGATGGCTATTGTTATAGAAAGTAGTAAACAATAAAAAAAAATAACTCGAATTAGTGTTAGTGCACGTTAGTCTTAAGTGCTAAACAGTGGTGAGTGAAAGGAACACAAGGACAGAGTGTCTTCCCCTTAAAGCCGAATTTACATTACGAAACTAGTGGCTCGGAATTAGTTTTATGACATAAATTTCATCAACAATTTCACGTGTAAATTTACAGTTTCATAATGCATGCATCGGTTTCGCGACACTGGATAAATTTTGTGCCATGCGCATATTTTTTGTAAAACTAATGTCACGCAACTACTTTCACGATGAAAACGCGACACGAAACTAGTGTCGCGAAAGCATTTGCACAGGGCAGACGTGTGTGTTTGAGTGCATCGTGCAGCTAAATGACCGCCAAAATGGCAAACCAACGTTGGTCAGTTGATAAAAATATAATTATCGAATTTTATATTTTAACATCTGTACCACGACGTTCTGCATCGCAAAATGAAGCTTTGATGTTGACAGAGCCATGTCGTTGGTGATACTGTTGATTTCACGACACTATTATTTTTTGTTAAAGTAGTTTCACACGTGCTGCAACTATTTTCATGAAACTCATTCCAACATGCATAACACTAGTTTCGTAATGTAAATTCGGCTTTAATAGACACTATAAGTAGTGTTATTGGACACTTTATGATAAATACCCCTTTTTAAAATTAGGTTATTTTTAAATTACTTACTAGCTGCCTCCGCGAACTTTGTTTCGCCTTAATGTGATTTTACTTAGTCTAAGTTTTTAGTACATACCAACATAGAACATTTTGCTATGCTACCAAAGAGACTCATTTTCCGGAATGAAAACTTTTTAGGTTATTCTGTGAATTTTTCTCTGAGTTCAAGTCATAAGATTTTAAATCTATATATATAAAAATGAAACCCGTTTTCCGTTGTCACGATATAACATGAAAACGGCTTTACCGATTTGTCTGATTCTTTTTTTATAATATTCCTTGAAGTACGAGGATGGTTCTTAGGGAGAGAAAAATTTAAAAAAATGAGTGAAAAAGTCTAAAAACAACACTTTTCTATATTCCCATACAAAATATTCGTAATAATATTTAAAGGCAATTTGAACTATAATACCATATCATAAAGTTCAAATCTTAGTGGAGGGGTTCCGGGAAGGTAATTTTTTTTGACATAATGTATTTGTTGTATTATCAACTTTCTTTTTTTTATCTTACTAGCTAGACCGGTGTCCCGAATAGCAGAATAAGTATTTAAAAAAAATTAAGAATCGACTGTTAGGCGTTACGATGTTCGCCAGGCCAGCTAATAACAAATAAAAATAGGGGTTGTTCTTAAAGGGTTGAAAATTAAGGGTTGTATGTATTTTTGTATATATCAAAAAAAAATAAAAAACAAAAAATATATCTAAAAAATAAATCTTTAGGTGTGGTCCCCCCTAACATTTAGGGGTTTGAAAAATAGATAGTAGCCGATTCTCAGACTTACTGAATATACATAAAAAATTTCATAAGAATCGGTCGAGCCGTTTCGGAGGAGTATGGTAACTAACATTGTGACTCGAGAATTTTATATATATAAGATTAATCTTAAGTTTTTTTTCCTACATTATAGGCACTAGATTAGGCAGATATGCAGCCGAGAATCTAGGCAGCAGGGGAGTGTCAAAATCTTCCCTTTCCGAAAACGGGATTATATTTACTTAAAAGGTTTGGCATCTCCCGCCGTGCCTGGGCAACTATTCCGGAAATATCCTCAAATAATAATGTTATTCTCAGGTTAGTAATGTAAATTGTCTATGTGCAGAGACAATTAAAAAAAAATACAAATACCTCTTTATTGAAATCAAATATGGGCCCACATGTGGCCATCATCTTAAAGTGACATCATCATACAATATACATACGAAAATATCAAAAATTAAGTGTTCCTTAGAACATCTGAATTGTCAACTAAGTGTCAAATGTCAACTGCCATCTGTCAGAATAATTAAGGACTTTTAAGTTAGCGGCCTAGCACCTTTATCAAGGGGAATGCAGTAGCACAGAGTATGGGACTCGCTAAAATAGTGGGTACAAAAACCCCACCAACTCACTGTCACAAATGGGAAAACTAGCATTCTACTAAGAGTCCTAGTCCTACGTAGTTCCTCTGTTGGATTTTTTTACATTTCAATCACCATCCAACATCTTCCACACACTTCTAGATGTTTCCATAGATTTTTTGTTAAAACACATTGAGGATTGGGGTTTTCTTATGGTTTAGTCAAACACAATTTAGCAAATAATTAAATAACATAACGACATACCTGTATACGGTAGCCCATACTTAAGATGTCAATTAACGAGGAAACCTTACAAGAAACTCCTTGCCTTACCACGTGAATGCAATTATAATTACATAAATATAATTTATATTTTTTATGTAACAGGAGGCAAAGGGGCAGGAGGCTCATTTGATGTTAAGTGATACCGCCCATGGACACTCACATTGACAGAAGCCTCGCAAGTGACGGCATTTTTTATACTTCATATACATTAAATTCTTGTGTCAGTGTTCGTAAACTCTCCGTTCCGGCTTGACCGATATTTAACTATTTTTAACACCCGTAATAGGAATAAAGTAATAAGGGCAGACAGTGAATTTAAAAAATAACCCAAAGCAGCTACGGAGCTTCGTACGAGACAGGCTTCGTATAGAATTCGTTATATATTTTTTTTAATTATACATTTAATTAATTAGAACATATAGAACAAATACCAACTCTTTTTCTTTTTGGGGCAATCCACAGTTTGTAAGACTAAGTATGACGCGGTCAGTGATGCCAACTTTCCCCTAATGTAGGCGGAATCAAGAATGCTTTTTGGGAGGTACATTTATTTAGGACTTTTACATTATACTTTATACATTTTTGAAGTTATACTTCTTTAGGCGCGTTATGAAAAATTTATGAGAGTGAAATTTTACGATGCGCGCGCACCGTGACACAAAATTAACAGAATGAAGTTGCCCACGGAAGATGCTACGGCATTGGACATAATTTAAAAACAACATTCGAATAATAATAGAATTTATGTTACACTTAATGTAAGAGAATAATAATAAATATTTATTTACTTAATTTTTCAAATGTAAACTGAACTTTATTGACTATAATTCTCCTAGACTCCTTTTCCAGACTTTGATTAGTTAAATTGTAATTAATTATTTGCATGCAATCAAAAACTATTTTTAAAAATGCCAAAGAAGTATAACTTCTTACGCGCGTACATAAGTACACGCACCCTTTTTTTAAACGCACGTTTCTATACAATTTTTATTGACTAGAACCCAACCAACAACCGAGTGTACACTCGGTTTGGGAGGTAATTTCAAATATGAAATAGTGGTTATAATCTTTCGATCTTGGAGTATTATACTTTTCTGAGTTTATTTTTGATTTAGTTTGTTGGTTAGGTTCTATAAAAATTGTATAGAAACGTGCGTTTAAAAAAAGTTTAAGGGGTTTTTTTATTCGATATTTACGATATTTGCAGTTGGAAGGGGGAACATTCTGTAGTAGTTGGCACCACTGCATGCGGTGACACCGGCGCCTGTCCGCTACCCGACACGCACGATCGTTACGTCTACCTCCATCCAAATTCTAAATTCTCTAAACTAAGAATCTAACTATTGAAATTCTAGCTTAACAAAATGTTACGTTTTAACTATGTTTAATTCGAATTAGAGCAGTGTTAGTCTAATGGCTTCAGCGTATGACTCTCATCCCTGAGGCCGTAGGTTCGATCCCCGGCTGTACACCAATGGACTTTATTTCTATGTGCACATTTAACATAACTCGACCGGTGAAGGAGAACATCGTGTAGAAACCAAATTGCCTTAGACCCAAAACGTCGACGGCGTGTGTCAAATCACCTACTTGCCTATTACATTGACAAGTGATCATGAAACAGATACAGAAATCTGAGTCCTAGACCTAAAAAGGTAATTAAATACACACACGATTCCATTCATAAAGTATATAAAACTTAAAACAATTTAAAGAAAATTTGATTCGACACGACTATACAAGACTCCACTTTTGGAACGATAAGAGACTCAGTGTTGTCTAGTGAATACACCTCTCAAGTCTCAACCCAGGTACACATTTTAAACCTAACAACTTCCTTCACCTACCAGGCTCCGTAAAGAATTAAAGCTTAAAGATAGAATAATGATAAACATCCAAGTTTTCAGGTCGTACATCTAGTTGCCCAAAATCTTAGGACTCGTAGCAATAAACAATGCTTTAGATATAGGAACCTGACACTCGCTCGTACAGTGCAGGAAAACATCATTAATAAACCGCCGTGATTTATCTAAAAGATCATCGCCGAAACAAAAATCATCACGAAACAGATACAGACTGAGGCCAATAATTCTACTATGTTCTTTTCCCATTTTAATTTTCGAACTCTACACAGCACATATAGATAAGGGCGGATATAGTTAATAACTGGGCTAACTATAGCCAGTTCCTTTGATCTAGATCCGCCCTTGACCAGAGGCTCATAGGGGATAGGTGTTCTGGGTCATCTAACAGAAAACAAGGGGGTTGGGCCTAACAAAAGTAATCCTATTCATACAGGACACGTATTGAAGTGCACAAAGCAAAGCGTGATTTATAGATTTAATGAGTACTTACGTAGTCGGCCTAGACCTCTGCGCAACTGTTACACTAGCAAAAAAACACTATGATAGAATCTAGCATACATTTTTGGTCGCTGTAAGTTTTTAGAGTAAAATTCAGAGACAACGCCAAGCGTGTCTCCCGTATGTCAAAAGCGTATTGACTTTGACATATGACATATTTTCTCATCTGTCAAAATACTATAAACCAGTATTTCCAAACCTCTTTTGTGCCAAGCCTTTCTAAAATTCTTATGCCCCCTTTATAACATACATAATTTTAAATATTAATAAATCGACTTGCCCCTTAATAATAAAATTGCCTCCCGTTGGGAAACACTGCTATAATTTGACAGATGGAAGTTCGCACTACTGGGGCTTGAGACAAATATACTTGGCGACATGCGTGACCCACAAACGCCTAACGAATTTCTAATTTTCCCTGGTCTTTGGAACTATGAGAAGCATTTAATCAGTTGAAAGAATAACATTTAAATTTACAGCGACCAATAAAGTTAATTGTATTATCACTACAACTAAAATACATGTAGAGGTCTGAATTTTCAACTGTTGAATTTTTTGTCATTCAAAAAACATCTTAATTTGTTTGTTAGTAAAAAAATAAGAGATAGATGGATATTCTAGGCTTAACAGGAGTACATTTTATTTTTGCATAACATTTTGTTTACAAACAAACAATTGAATGGTCAGACAAAATTTAAAAAATATATCTTCTTAACTAAAATACAATTAATCTAGAGAATTAGATAGACTCCATTTATTTCTTTGTTACACTTATTTATAGAACAAATCTATTTAAGACAACACACATTTACTAGATTAAATCATAACAATTATTTAGGATTGGAAATAATATATTGCTATGGGCATAACTGACGCCTCAACAAATTTTACGGAATCAATCAAATGGATTTAATCCAAGAAAACTCCGCTAACACAATTTTATATAAAAATATTGTTTTTTATACAAAATTAATTTGAACTAAAAGCTTCATTATAAACATATTACCTTCTCTGTTATCATAGTGACAATGTTATATAAAAATAATGATAACCATAGCAACAAACAAAATAAAATTGGTTTATAGCCCGGTCAATTTAGACCAAAAAATGAGAGTGAAGTTACATAAAGTCCCAACAAGCTGAATTTCAGTGAAATTGTTCAAAACATAATTATAAACAATGTCTAGAAGTTCCCCATCATTCCCGTGTAAGGAAATTTTTTTATTCAAGTTCAAAGGTCAAAAAAATGAGTTTTTCACGATTTTCAGCAAAACGGTAAGTGTTATGATAAAATAACCTCATACAAAAATTGATACATATATACTTAAAATTATCTATAAAAAATTTATCAATACTTTTTTTCTTACGAGCCACCGTTTCTGAGATATAACAATTCAAAAAGTTATAAAAGTTGTTATCGTCATAATATGCATGAGTACGCCACGTATATACATCTAGAGTTGTTATATTTTATATAATATATATATGTTTATATAATAAATAAAAATTAAAATTAAATGTTTAAATATTTTTCTATCGGTCATTGTAACACAGCAGTTTTCAAAATGTTTGAAAAACAAGATTTAATTCAATGTGCTGAAGTTTTTAAAAAGAGTAATTCAACTCAACAAGAAGTTATTACCAACGGCATCCGCTTTCTTCTTTCTATGTACGGAGCTCCTAAAAAAACTACCTGTTCAGATAAGCATCGATATGCATGTTTCGTTAAAAATACTAAAATTAAAAAAACAAGTTCAATTAGCTTGTCTTCCTCCAACCTCAGTTGCTGGTCACCAACATCTTTTTCGAGTATATTACCAAGTTCAAGTGTGGCTTGGTTATCAGCTAGACCCTACAGACTGGGATTGGAAGTTGGTCAACAATATATTAGAGCCAGTTCAAACTTTACTTCCACCAGCGCCGGAAAAACTGCTGAACACTATTTTTTGCAACTGCAAAATGGGATGCAGTGCTAAATGTGGTTGCAAAAAAGTCGGACTGTCTTGTTCTTTCGCATGCACAAATTGTCAAGGCCGGTCGTGCTCTAATATTGAATCACAAACAATGGAGGATTCGTTTGACTCCGACGAAGTATCATGCGATACATCGCTATTGACGCAATTTACTTGCGTCCAAAATGAAGATGAAGAAGAAGCAGGAGAAGAAGAACAAGAAGAAGAACAAGAATTTGAAACTTACGAATAAGACGAATAAACTTCAACACTTTTTTTCAATTTACATCGCTTTTATCTTTCCCAATCTTTGAAAATTTCCGTTATTTTGCAATAGTTTTACATCAAACAGGATCACAACTGACCCGTGGTGTAGGCCTACTGGGGAAACCACATTAAAAAAAACGCGCTAAGTACTCTACCTCATAGGTGGCGTGGAAACGTGTGCATATTATGATGATAACAACTTTTATAACTTTTTGAATCGTTATATCTCAGAAACGGTGGCTCGTAAGAAAAAAAGTATTGATACATTTTTTATAGATTATTTTATGATCTACAATTTTGTCTAAGGTTTTTTTATGATAAAACTTACCGTTTTGCTGAAAATGATGAAAAACTCATTTTTTTGACCTTTGACTTTGAATAAAAAAAATTCCTTACACGGGAATGATGGGGAACTTCTAGACATTGTCTATAATTATGTTTTGAACAATTTCACAGAAATTCAGCTTGTTGGGACTTTATGTAACTTCGAATGTCTAAATTGACCGGAGTATTAACATTAACTCCCATGTCAAAATCTAATACTTTTTCACATAGAAAAGTCATAGAAGCTAGTCGACTCTGGCAACTAGATAATGATTCAGGAATGATCTTTAAACATATGAGAAATATTTATTACTTCCAACGCTATTAAAACTAAATTCCCTAACCCTCTATAAACACTAAAGATTTATTGTATATTAATAATTTACTGAGCAAGACTAGCTTTATGAGATTAATAAAATAACAAAATTACTTGCTTTGTATATCTTATATGTATTGTATACCGTTTATTCCCAGCTTCCATACACTGTCTCTTTGTTGAAGCACTTAGAAATATACTATTTAAATTACCTATATACCTATTATAAAATTTATTATTGTTAAGAGAAAGTTGTTTTTATTATTATTATTGAATTGTTGGTTAAAATGGGACTTTTGAAGTTAGTCTATATCATATTCAGATGGGATTAAATGTATTTTTATATTATTTTACAAATGGTAATATACAATAAAATGTAATTACAACAATATAGAAATCAAGTTATTTAAATAATTTTAGATACATTTGGGTACTAATTCTACTAAAATATTATTATGATTAATCGAAATTATAATTAATGTTGAATTAAAGTTATTATAACCTAAAATAAATAAATTTTGTGCTAATTCTAATACATACCTGCTCAGCCGCCGATTTGGTATAGATGTCTTTGTGTCCTCACTGGACGTTGTCATGGAGGTCTCCATTGGATTATCATCTACATCCAATATTTGAAGCTGACTCGGACGAACAAACATACCACAATTTTCGTCACACTGAAATAAATTGTGTTAACTTTTAAGTATTATTGAAATATCGATTTACAAGTCATTTCTTTTCATATTTAAAACATAACCTATTATGTTGAAGTGAACAGTTAAATAGTATTAATATTTATTAATACAGTCAATCTGTTATAACAACATCAAAGGGACAACTGATATTTGGTAACCCAGTCGTAACAGACAATGACTTTGTTATTAAGTACCTCATACAATAGAATTCAGCCAGGACCTAAATTTTGGATGGATATAACCGATATGTTGTTCTAAATGATGGCTTCGTAAACAGTTTTGACTGTATAACTTAAATAATCATGAAACATATACTTTACTCTTCTTTAATGAAATTAATTTTCACAATCATTAACACAAAAATTTTAAAAATTCTATGAGAATCTATAATCATATAAAACATTATTCCTAACATATGACCATGGTCATAATATATACGGTACACATAAGTCGTCAAATGATTTCCTACCATGTCCAATCCTATCTAGCCAAGTAATGTGCTGATATAGTTGAGTAATTCCACAATGTCTTAGCTTGTCTAGCTATATGAAAAGCAGTTCCTGAGTTTTGAGTTTGTTATGCCCATTTGAAACCATTAAAGAGGCAAGCTAAGGACTTTTTGATCAGTTGTATGGTTAACAGAATAATAGAGCATTTATTGTACCTGGAAATATGCGTGGCCGCGTACTGTACCATTGTTCTTCCCTTTGGGCTCATCTAGTATAATACCGACCCAATTGCCAGTTGCAAATGTTGGACAACCAACATAGGCGATAGCTCCTTTCACATTCTTTCCAGTAACTAGCACCCTCTGCCCCAACTTAAAGTGCTTACCAGACATTTTTTCTCTTAAACAACAAAAAAACCATTTATGTAAATGTTAAAAATTGTAATAATACGATCTACTATTTAATTTTACCTTATTAAGACTGGATAAGTGGTACAATGATGTAATTACAATAATGGCCTACTAGTTCATTATTCTAAATGCTTTATATATTAAACCTATTAGCAGTTTAAAAATGTATTATTGTTCTTTCAATGATTTAAGTAAAATTTATGAATAACGAAAACTGAATCTTGTACTATACTTGAATCATGTGTCAAAGATGTCAGACGTCAGTTTCAACATTCATTTACCGAAAGTCAAAAGTGTATCATGATGAATGAAAGGCAAAGGACTTTAGACCATACAGCAAGGTTTTGTTTTTCGTTCTCCTGTCGAATATTTTCTCAAAAGTGTAGCATAATGATGATATTAATTTATCCCTAATGGGAAAGGCAAAGGATCAAAAGTGTATCATGATGATGATATTAATTTATCCCTAATGGGAAAGGCAAAAGTGTATCAAATTTCAACGAAAATCATAGAATCTTAATAAATCTGAAATAAGATTAGCATTTATTATCATACTAGTCTGTGATTGTCGCCACCGGCCACAGATTAAATAGACGTAAATTGTTATAACATACAAGAATGGAACCGTCTAGCAGCCCTCAATAGATTAATATTTAAACTCTTCAACCAATAACAAGTATGTTTGCTAGGTTAAACCTAAAAGCACTAAGCTATAACATACCAAAGAAACCAATAATTCGTTTATTTAAAAATACAAAATCTTCATCTTCATCACCACAAAATTTCCAATTTAATACAATCAATCTCCAATGCATTCTGTAATCTATACACCAATGTATATTTTAAATGTCTAGTTGCTATAAAAATGTCTTTATGCCCTAGTTTATTTCAAAATCACAGGTATTGTGTATACCTGACAATACAAAACATGAAGAAACAATACATATAACAAGGAACTTAAAGCAAGGACAAGTTACACATAACAACTTGTCACATAAATTGGAAAAGTATGAATATTGATAATTTGCATAGTAAAAATTCTTTTTAAGCATTTGCCATCATACAAAAAGTATATTTAAATCATATGTTTTATTGTTACTAGTAGATGACCTCAACATAGTGTAGCAATAAATTAATGCCATGACTCATAACTTCCTTGCATTGTGCTAATTTCTTTAAGATATCACAACTTGTTATAACTATGTCATCGATTATATATATATATTGATGACATAGTAGTATATTCCTGTGCTAGATGGCAATACATTTAATTGTTGCTGCTGAAACCACTTGACAGTAATAAGATTAAACACAGATTAATTAAAGTGGAATATTTTAGCTGAAATATTTAAAGAAATCATTCATGAAATATTTAATTTAATAAGGTGTTAACTAAGTGGCATTTGGAAATTATACACTATACAGTTAGCAAAACCCACTTTCACTGAATTTACTGTTAGAGGACATTGTACCCGGTGTGAATGAAAGAGAACACATACAAAAACATGTTTTTAATTATTGAGACACATCATATACTTATTACAGCAATTTAATAATTATGTAGTAAAAAACAAAACTTGAGTTATTAACTATTTCGTTCGGTATTAATTGCAACTAAAGCTGTCCGTGAAGACGGCGTCGATTAGTTATATATTTATTTTTTACATTAATGGGAGACAGCAAGGCACAGGGCGCGAAGCAGGCCTCTTCGATATAATCTCTGTATATATCTGTGCTTTCTAAATACATAATTCGATAGGTTACGCGCACGATTTAGAAACTATGATGATGTCACACGTCATGTTGCGGTCTAAAAACCGTGTACTTTAAGTTGCTCGGGCTTCACCAGGCCTGACTTGGTGAGCCACTGACAAATGTTTTCACGTTGGTCGCCTTGCAGTTGCAGAACTTCTCCGTATTCGGGATGTTCCACTACTGTACCGTTGCACGCAAACTCCTTTTTGCATGCCCGCACGATCTTCTTCAAGTCATATTCCGAAGAGAGGCCCTGTATCGTTGTTAATGTCTTACGCCCGTTCCGCTGCTGGATCCGCACGTGGACTAATCCATCTTGAACATCGTCTTCCGAGCTTTTGATAGCATCGGCGAATGGGTCGAATGTGTTGAGATTCTGGATGGACATACGATATAACGTCGATACTCTTTGTTTCAATAAAACACTGCGATGCAACGCACTGAAAACTGTCACTAACAAAGATGATGATTGTAACACGCAGACAGTGCAACGACCAATTTACGCAAACTCCAAAAGGTAATGGCGGATGATGGCGACTTTGACCGAAAAATGAGGAATGTCACGCAACGGAGGCGGATATAGATATCGATTGACGCCATAGACAAAATGTAGTCTATTATGCTCCTGTACAATATAAATTACCAGTTTTTATAAAGTTTTGTACTTTGTATAAATAGTTACATCAAATATTTATCCCTTTAATTTAGCGTACAATTTCGGGACATAATCATCATATTTTGCAAGATAAAAATTTCCAGCTATAGGTGTACCCAACTTATATTCTTGAGCAAACTTAGCAATAGAAAACTTTCCTCTTTTGTCTCCTGAATTATTGGGAAGTTTTGGGACTTTAGAAAAATCAAATTTTTCTTGTTGTTTAAAGACTAAAAATACATATCTATGTAATCCGGTACCTTTCGGAGGTCCGGAACCAATATAGTCAGAAAGGACTTCTCCCTTATTAAGATCACCCCCATAAATGTTTCCCACTAACCAATGGTGCCATTCACGAAATTTTGGGTTTTCACGGCTAGGTGCGTCAGGGTCAATCATGGCTAAAGTATAATACTCGGTATCTTTACAAGCCCATTTTACTACAGGTTTGTCCTTGACTTGAGTTGGAGTCAACTCCTTACCCAAATCAACAGTAACCCCACTTGGATACTTAATATTTAATATTTCTGAAGGAGCAATCGTTATAATATCCGGAATGATCGAGTTTTTCTTAAAAAGACTTTGCACGTCCGACATTATTGCACATCAAATCAATAACAATTAATTAAATTATTACTACTTTTGCCCTACTGACCTTGCCAAATTACTTGGTAACTATAGCAACAAATAAAAAAAATACTTTACCCCACAGATAATCAATAATAATATTAATATATTTGAGTAATCGTTCGCTTATACCTGCTAATTTTCTTCTATACAATTTCAGCAAAAGAACTACTTATGGTAAAAAGTTCAAGATTTTAATACATTTCAAACCTATCATATAGAAAAACACAGTAATGAGAAAAATGAAAAAGTAAGGCAAGTTGATAAATAATAAATTAAGCTATGAATACTTACATTTATTGAAAACACTATTTCCTTTTTTTACATCAAAAACATTAATTTAATAGTATGGTTTAAGTAATATTTAAGTAAATATCTGTGGAAACTAAAGTATATCATTGGTTATAGAAACACTAGACAACATTGCGAAATTTTTTTGTAAACAATTTTTTGATCACATTTTCCATCCAATGTCATATATGTTGTAGAATATCAGACATCTGTGCAGATATCTAATATATCCATCATTGTCCTATAATTAGGCAAATCAAGTTTCACTATTCATAGTCAACTAACTTTAGTAAAGAATATTGTTTTATATAACTGTGAGACAAGTTGTAATAATTCAAAAGTTATTAAAATAAGAAATTTGTAAGCAATATCATTTTTTAACATTCCTTATCCTATTCAATACATTAAACATACACAAATATTAATTTGTAGCTTAGGTAGAATTTTAGTTTTCTATAACACCAATCCAAATCTTCTTGCGCTATTACAGAACAAACACTACACATGTGTTTTTCCTAATACAACAACAACAAACAAGACATATCTGTTCTGCTGAAAAATGTATTATTGTGCAAATGTTTATTCTTTTTAACTTTTAAGACCAACAATTAATCGTTGATATAAGTGGAGACAAGACAACAATAATTTTGACTGGAAAATAAAAGTATTTTTTTTTTCATAACATGTTTGAATTAAATTATTACTGCCCTAATGTTATAAATCATACTATCTACTAATATGACAGGTGAATGTGTACACCATTCTAGTAAAGCAATTATAAATATACTGTTACCAATAGAAAGCTACATTATTTGTGAGTGTATATGTGAGGCTATATGTTAATCTAACTTTTTCATGTTTCTTATAAATGCTGCCTGAGAGATAAAATTTAGTTCTAGAGAAAAGTTGTATTTTGATAATACCTACAATAAAGTCGGCGACAGCATGTGTCTAACATTTATATTATTATTGCATTTTTTCACCAATATCTAGTATTATTTATAAAGACGGTTAAGGCATATAATTAAAAACAAAATAAAGAAAACAAGCATTATATCGTGATTGCTTTTCAATAATAGCATATATTATTGGAATCTACTATATGTATTTAGTTTAATAATAATATATTTAAGAATGGCACTAAATATATTGATAAGTATTATAATAAACAATTGAACTCAATGAGTGCATTCATCACTAGGATTTTATTCTGCTTTATATACAATAGTTGTCTTTCAGACAGTTCAGGATTCAGTACCATGTAGGCCACCTGGCACTTGAATTTCACCTTAAAACAATACTTATCCCAATGTAAACTCTGTACTTATACTATAATTTACTAAGATCCATCTTGGATATTACCCTTTGCAGCTAACAAAAATGTATTGACTGTAAAAGGTTTTTTTGCCAGTTTATTAATTTTATCACTCTTAATATGAACAGCAATATCCTCTGTTGTTTTTATTTTTTTCATTAAATTTTGAATATTTCTCTCATTTGTTGAAATTTCACTTTTGAAATCATCCATATCTTGCATCATTTCTCTGTATGGTAGTTTTGGTATTTCATGCCTTCTTGTTGGTGATTTTAATTTTGATATTGTATTTAAACGCAACTTTAATAATGACATTTCACACTGTGATGACTTTTGTTGGTATTCTATGCACTGCTTCCCATAATGTTTCCGTATTTCTATTACTTTCCACATCAATTTCTCACATTTTTCATGTATTTCGTCAAAAGCATCAGAAGCTGGAAATAAATGCATTAAATGAACATGTCTATTAATTGATACCTCAGTTGTCAAATTTATTCCTGTTTAAACAACTATAATTTTTGAATTTACTTTTTTATAATATAGTCATCTATATTAATGTATCTATATTCTAGTTGGAAATGTCTATGAAACAGATCCGAAGAACAGAACAAAACCTACATGAATGAACATGTATGAATAATATACGAAATAATTAACTTGATCAGACCATACAGACGCGAAACAAACGAATCGGAACTGACTTTTAGTTACTAACATAATTTACTTACCCATATTAAATATGATTGCACTTGAGTTAAACTAAACAATTTCTTTTACTTAGGCTCGTCCACGATATTTATAAACAGGGTTTATAATAAAACAAATATTTATAGTTAACATTCTTAAATTTAAATAGCGAAATGTCAAACTGTCAACGGCTTTTCTAGCCTTAAACGTCGACTTTTTTTTATTATTAAAAATGTATGTCCTACAAGTATTACCAACTCTAAAAATGATTATTGTACTATAGATAATATTAGTGCAATATTTATTCAAAAACAATGAACATCAATATTTTGATTTGTGAAAACACAGAAAAGTGTTGTGGTTATGGAGTAACGATATCAACTGAGTTTTTAATCATTCTCATAAACTCTTGAACAGAAATCTGTAACAAACGAAACATACTAAAAAAAGGTTGCGTGTACTTATGTACGCGCGTAAGTTATACTTCTTTGGCATTATTAAAAATAGTATTTGATTGCATGCAAATAATTAATTACAATTAAATAATCAAAGACTGGAAAAGGAGTCATTATAGTCAATAAAGTTCAGTTTACATTTGAAAAATTCAATAAATAAATATTATATTTATTATTATTTTCTAATATTAATTAGTATTGATTTAAATATTCAATTTAAATCACTTCTGATTATAATTCAGATGCACATATAAAATTCGCACTTGTATAATGAAAATACGTGTTTTAAATGTAGAAACTCAAAGCATGTGGATAAATATTATAAATATAAATACACAGCGAACAGAGGCGTGCGCCACTAACTTCATTCTGTTAATTTTGTGTCACAGTGCACGCGCATCGTAAAATTTCACTCTCATCAATTTTTCATAACGCACCTAAAGAAGTATTACTTCAAAAAAATTATTACTCAAAGTATATATTTGGATAAAAAACTTACGAATCCGTCGAAGTCTTTGTCAGCATCATCAATCATTTCTTCTATTTCTTGATCACTTAAGTAAATTCCTAATATTTTAGTAACTTGTTTTAGATTTTCAAAACTAATAAATCCTAAAAACATATTACTTCATTTATTTTTGGAGCTTTCATACGATATCGTCATTGAAAATATAATTTTAAATAATAAAAAATATATCTAAGAAGAACTTCACATAAAATTTCAATTACCACAGTCATCCATATCGAAAAGCCTAAAACTTTTCATTATATCACCATCGCTATCCAGTGACATTATTTTACGCATAATAGCGGTTTCAAAGTTCTCAAAACTTAATTTACCAGTAAGACCTTTATCCACGCCATTTATCATTTTTTGAAGTTCTTCTTTCGTAGGTTCATATCCTATTGAAAATAAAAAAATAACTTTCTAATGAATTTAATAACACGTAATTAAAAAATATTACATTGGTTCTTTGTTATAAGTACAGTAAATGTACCTAAAGCCTTTATGGCTACTCGAAAATCCTCTGCTTTGATTTTGCCTTCTCCATTGTAATCTAAAAGGTTGAACGCCTCGTGTAAATCGTTTTTCTGAAATTATATTGTATGATATTTTTTCAAAGAAGAAAATATACATTATTATTCATGATGCCGGAATCTGTTATTGACGTGTAGTAAATATAGTAAATTGGCAAGAGTAAAAAAATAACCTAAAAATTTTACTGCTTAAAACACTCAGTGCAATCTTAACGCAAAAGCTTATCTTTACTTATTCATTATATTCTCTTTTGTAATTTATCATCGAATACTTGTGTCCCAGGCATATTATAATTCAGATTATTTATTTGTTTGTGTCAGAATATCTGAGAATAGTTTTTTATATTATTTTTTGTGTACCTACCTGATATTCAGTTAGCTCTAATTTAGCTTTTACATCAAAATTTTTAAGGGATTCAGTCTGATGAGTTTCTTTCCCATCTTTATCGGATTTATTTGAAAATTCAGCAGTCACAGATAAATCCAAGTTAATATTTTCCATTTATAGCAGTGATATTATATAAGATTTTTATTTATTTATAATGACAAGCAAGAGACGTGAACGATGTAATGACCAACTTGATTCAAGTAATAGATTTAAGTATTTTATATTCGAATTAGGTTACGGATATCAATGTTACCTAGGTAAATTAATATAGAGTAATATACCTGCTCTTTTGTAAATACTAAACGAGCGCAAATTGGTATTTCTTTTTCTTCGGTTGCCGCCTCAGTATCTACTTCTGGATCTTCTAATATGACTTCAGTATTCATAGTGATAAAATGTTAAGACGTATAAGTAGTTATGCAGAATTTCACTAATAATTCTATCAAGGAAAAAAAAACGCTTTACTAAATAGCTATTTTGAAGCTTTCGTAGTGAATTTAATAGAAACCTTGGCAACCAAAAATGTTTATTTCTATACAACGACTAGCAATACTTTAATGCAGTGATACTGTGGTAGTCAGAGACTATAGAAACACCCGCCATATTTTTTATTGTTAGTGTTTGTCGTTTGATCAGTGTGACCGTTTTTAGTATATTCAGTACCAAATTGGTATAATTTGGGCTCCGTGTAACTAATTTAGTATTTTTTTGGTATCCTTTTATATTCTGGTATTTTTTGGTACGTTTAAACTTTCAACTTTTTAAAACACATTTTGATATATTTTTGGGCTGGGCGGGAAACACTCACTTTCAATCGTTCGTATTTCGTTCACATGTTTTTGTCTTTGTCTGATGTTTACCGCAAATGTATCATTTTGTCTCTTTCGAACGGTTAATGCTAACAAATTCGCGAATCGTGCTTTGGCTACGTATTACTATCTACGTTACATGCTGTATTTTTTATACATGGATGTTATACGGATGTTTTAGTTCTTTATTTATTTCTCTCTGTGTGCATGTGTAGTGAAGATAATGAAGCGCAAATGCGATCAGAAATATAGATCTGAGTGGGAACAAAATTCTGAATTTTCGTCATGTTTGACAAAAGATAGAAATAATGAGAACGCCTTGTGTAAAACGTGTGGAGCAACATTTTTAAGCAGAATCGCTACAATTAAAAGTCATGCATATTCTGAAAAACATCGATAGAAACTTATACGTTATAGTGGACAATCCAAGGTAAGAAAGCTATGCCCCCATTAACATATATATTTATAAGATTATTGTGTCCCTTATTTTTTTATGGCACATGAATTAATTGTCCTACTTCTTCAGGATGTCCGATGAATCTTGGATAGTACATGTACACACATGTATAATTGATTTAAATTCATCAAATTAATCAAATCCTGTTTATTTTCAGAACGATGATAAATTACTTCAAATGAAAGAACCCATATCTGAAAAAGTAAGAAAAGCAGAGCTTATATTTTATGCAGCGTTGGCAGAACATAACATACCATCTCGGGCCATGGCCATGGATCCATGAATCATCTCAGCGATTTATTCAGCAAAATGTTTTATGATTCGGAAATCGCAAAGGGCTTTTCCTGCAAACGCACTAAATCTGCTCAGTTAGCTCAGTGCAGCGAATACTGACTTAGTATTTGTAATAAAACTTATTGTAAATATTTATTATTATTTGAATATGTCTGTACAATGAAGGTGTGTAATTGGTAAAATTAAAAAGTATCTGATAATAAGTGTTTTAATAAAAAAAATCCTCTTTTTCTTTTAGTATATTTTTAGTATAATTCAGCATGTGTTTTGGTATTATTTAGTACTGGCACCTTGTAGTTTTGGTAGATTGGCATTTTTTAAAACGGTCACACTGCGTTTGATAGTATCGCTGTCATTTAAAGAATCATAAATTTTAGGTTGAGGTTATAATCGGCGTATCAACGCTTTTATTGTTTGTATAAATACTAGATAATAAAACTAAAGAAACATGAAGCTAGTGCGTTTTTTAATGAAATTGAGTCACGAGACGGTTACAATTGAACTCAAAAATGGAAGCGTAGTTCATGGAACGATCACCGGCGTCGATGTTGCGATGAACACACATTTGAAAGCTGTAAAAGTAACGCTAAAGAACAAAGAGGAGCTTCAATTGGAGACATTGAGTATACGTGGGAACAACATTCGGTACTACTTACTTCCTGACAGTCTACCTTTGGAAACTCTTCTAATTGATGACACACCCAAGGGCAGAGGGAAACGCGAAGGTTTCCAGCGAGGTGGTACTAGAGGAGGTCGTGGTAGAGGAAGAGGCGGCCGTGGAGGCCCGAGAGGAGGTCGCGGGGGACGCGGCCGTGGACGTCGATAGTCTATAACCTAGATCTAAGCTATTATAAAACCAAAAGTAAGATTGGATAAGTGATTGTGATGTAAGTTGATGTGAATTAAACAATTTCCAACTTTGCATATTATTGTTTTTGTTGATATACTGTTACAGGAACACGACAGGGTCTCTTTACTCTTGAATCAGTAGAATGCAAGCTTTGACAAGACAGTAAATATTATCATTAAACTTAGGGAATATTGATCATCAAGGTAAGAAATGCATTACCTTTGGATGATAAATAAGCAGTTCATAAATGTTTGAAATGTGTTCTGGTGACAGACATAATAAGTTTAAAGACTGTATTATTGTTAAATAAAAGCCCATAGCGTTTCTGTTGTTCTATAATTTCAGTTTAAACTAGATATGTGATAGCCAAATCACATCACCAACTGGACTGGCTTATTTAGTTGAAATTCACCTGATTTTAAGAAAAAAGTTCATCATGCCAATGATATGATTTTTTTGGAGAAACATACACTTCCGATGCACACATCTGCTTTAAAGCCTAGTTTAAAAAAATATCATTATACTCAAATATTATTGAATTCCAACAAGATAACATGCATGATAAAATTAGACAGTGTATGTTGCTCTTGGTTGCATTGGGATACTATTATATTAAAAAAACTGCCAGCCAGTGCTCCTATATAGTCTATATTAAATTTGGTCATAGAATTACTTAAATTTGACAATACAATATGTGACATTAGAAAACATGATTGGTATAAAAATTTATTGTATTAGTTTTTAAATGTGTTTAAAATAAAAGGGTCTTTATTATCTCAATGTAATCAGAGTAAGTTATATTATTATTTATTTATAAAACCTAAATGGCTCTATTGCTGAATGGTTAAGTGTTTTTGAAGTCTTGGTAGAATAATGCAGTCTGTAGGGCTCGGCCAGATCACACCTATATGCAACAAAGAATAATCTAAACATGCAGGAACCATTTTTATTTATGCATTACCTAGTATGCTCTTAAAATGTATATTTAGAGATGGAGGAGGTTATTTGGTATCCATATTAGTCATTTTAATGTTAAATGTGTTATAAAAACATATTAAGGGGCTTAGAGTAGTCTATTAAATTATCTCTAACTGAGTGGCTTGTCCCAGCATGGCTGGTAGAATGTAAAATATAAAAAAAGTGTGTGCGTACAAAGTAAACATGTCAGAAGTGAAACTTCTTGGTAAATTAATTATTACTATGGTAAAAGACCTGATAGATGATCATGTACCAGTATATGATCTCTCCATGTATTTGTATATTCACACTGTTTAGACACTGTACACATGCTAATGATAATATAAAAAAATCTGTGTTTACTGCACAAGACGAATTAATACATACATCAACGAATAGCGTGTATTTTTTCTCGATCTACCTTACTCTCTCTCTCAATCTTTCTCATAATAGCTCTCTCCCACCTCTCGATCCATGGCACTGTGCGTGATGCGGCGTTCGCTCTATCTCACTCTCTCCCTTTTCATCGACAAAAACGCTGCACATCTTCGTGTCGCTAATATTATTATTTCATTTCATCCGTAAAAATTTTACACTCATGCGCCTAAAGAAGTTTCACTTCAATAATATTTTATATAAATTCGTGTAATTTTAAAAGAATTGATGAAATTGGTCCAGTATATTTTGAGTTTTGTATGGTGCAAAAATACAAATCTTGTCTTTATAATACAAGGCAAGGTATACGGTTTACATATAGATTGAGACAACGAAAAATCCTCCAATGTGGCAACATTTCTACATAAAAGAATTTTATAACTATAATATTTGGGGGCTCATAGCCTAGCGGTCTTATTAAGTGGCAGCTAGGTGAGGGGTACCGGGTTCAATTCCCGGTTCGAGGGCAAGTTTTAATTTAATTTAAATTTGTTCTCGGCCTTTGGGAGGGTTGTGCGGTACCGGGCGAGTGCCTAAACCGTACATGGAGGACATGGTCGAATTTCTAAGGCAAAAAGCACGAATTATAATAATCTTATACATGACGCTGGCTAATGCACAAACCGTGCCAGAGCCATAAAAAAAAACTATCATAAAGTTAATAAATTTCTTTTATAGCCCTTGTTAATTGTAAAACACAATTTAATATTTTAATTTGATGTCCCGGCACAGAGATGCAGATATACCTATCATTTTACTTTACATATAAGCACAATTATATTCAGAGACTGATCAAGAGTTCTGACCGCTCTAGGCTATTTATCAGAATGCGCCCCCGCTAGATGACAGGTGTGTTACGGTCGGTCGAAAAAGTAGTAACTAGTTACAAGTATAAAGTGTAAAAAGTAGTATATTAGTTATGACTTTATTTACTAGTGTGAAAAACCAAACGTTGTGTTTACTGTATTACAAATAATTTGTCGATTTTTAAGTGCACTTTAACATTATCAATAGTTGCATAATAATTATCAACGATGAAAGATCACCTCCATTCGAACTCAATGTGCCCCGTTTTAACTTCAACAAAATGAAATTTTGGTTTCCTTCTTCTCCTTACATCTCTTGATTTGAAAAGATCTCTTCTTACATCTCTTGGTTTCGTCACGCAACGTATCAAGATAAGCATGTTATGTCTCATAAAGATTAACAACGTCAGATAAATCAACAGAACTTGCTTGTAGCACAAGGTTCCAAAAGCACATTTTTGAAATTTCTTGGGGTTTATATTTGACTAAAATTGCTTTTGCTTCTGTTTTGGTCTCTTTACATTGAGTTTTTGACAGATTTTTTAGTACAGTCGATTCTTCATCTAATTTGGATACTAAAGTTTTCCATCTGCTTGAAGATCCAGTTCACAGTTCATTTAGTGTTTTGTCTCGGTCTAGTTGAAATATGCAGGGTATGATTCTAGCGAAGACACGATTACAGCGCGCCCGCGCCCCCCTAGATCGTCGCGCCCTAGGCTGCAGCCTAATTAGCCTATGGGTTAATCAGGCCCTGATTATATTCAAAGTCCGTCCATTAAATTATTTAAGCGTCTTAACGACGTTTTCGACCCTGTGTGTAATTAATACTATTTATAAAACTTAACGCCTGATTAATTTAAAGAAGCAATTAAGATTTATTACATTTAGTTATAGAATATAAGTTATACTCCCTTCGCTGGCTCTGCGACCTAAAAAATGTCTTGGACTCTGAATTAAGAAAGTTCCAGCGCTCCCTATCAGGACATAGGAGGCACAGGAGTGCCAGCTCCGAATTGCTGGCTTTCAGCTGCATGATGTCCTTTTTCACTCTGTTAATCCAAAACCTATGCCGACCTACTGGCCTCCCACCTCTTCGCTTCGTTTCCTTGACCGCCCGTTCTTGGCCCATACGCTCAAGATGCCCCAGCCAACGTAGTCGCTGGGCCTTGGATTTGACTATAATATTGGGCTGGACTACTAACTCCTCTATTTCGGCATTTTTCGGCCTTCATGGCCTTCTTCATGGTTGGTACAAGGATTTTGCGGGCATGAGGAATATCACTTCTGTTTGTCGAATCCATTGCGTTTTTCAGCATGTCTAAGTACCTTCTCACAATCCTTTAGATTACGTTCTTTATTAACCACAGCTTATTTAAATCTTTACTAAGGTTTAAATTACTGTTTATCCATAATTAACATTTTTGCGTACTCTGTGAGTGATAGATAACATCTACGTAAACATACAAACTAAGCTATGGTATAAATTTCAGGTTTATTCAGGTAACTTAATTCAATTTAAAGTTTAGGCCATGCTTATTGAAAATAAGGCTGGCAGGCTATTCGGTTATGAGGAAGTTGCATTGTATCTGGTTAGCGCTGCGCCTTAAGCTCTCATATTATTTTCACACATGTATATCCTTTCTATAAAATATTTTCATAAGTATCTGAGGAGATATAATACTAGATATCGTAGTGTTTTTTTAAATAAACACACGGAAATGTACCTATTATCTAGAGCGACTTTTAAATGCGAACATTGACAGAAAGTCCTATGGTGCATAGCCGAGGTATCGAACCTTAGACGACCTGAGTGATGAGAGTCGCACGCTGAAACCACAAGGCCCACACTTGCACTGCTCTCACAAGCAAATGATAAGCATTTTAATAAATAGATTTGCCTGTTTTTCGGACCATACTACCTTACTTTATAAACATTTGTATTTAACATTAAAGTTTATTTATTTATTAATTCATTTCGTAATCCTATGTATATAAAACACCATTATACGAAAGTTATAGCCGAAGATGGAATACATAATACAAAACGGTTCAAACAATTACGAAAGGAAAATTATTAAATACATTTAATGAAGAAATACCTAATTCGGCTGTCTTGTGTGTTGGTGTGAATGTGGGGTGAGCTCATGATGCAGGTGATTTAGATATATGGATATCTTTAATACTTCTTATAAGCATATTCCGCGATAGTTTAACAAGTCAAGGCTTAAACATTGGTCGTTGTATGTCGGGGCTGCGCGATATAAAACTGAAAAGTTTAACTACATTACACATAGACATAACATTTATTACTAACAAAACACACACACAGTAACACAAAAAATAAAAATAATAAAAAAATATAGAAAAGAATGAAAGATAACAATTGTTTTTTCTTTTAAAGAACAAGGAACTTTTTATGTGTATAATGCTTGTGTGTTGTGGTTGTAATTGGCCCTGGCTCATGCTGAGGAGCAGACTGTTCCACAGCGCTGGTCATTCTGCCAGAGACCACAGCAGTTAGTTTGCGCCTCAGTCGCAAAAAAGAAAAATAATGTAGTAATAATAATACTTAGTACACAAAAAAATTGTAAAAGTTAGCAGTGTGACTAATGTAGTCTTGCGTTAATAAAATAAAATTAAAAATAAGAATAATTGTTAAGAAATAGAAATGAATATTTTTGGGCGGACAAAAAATTACAAGAAATTGTAATGGCGTATTTGTAGTTTTTGGGCCTCAGTTAACATTTCATCAGTATCAAAGTAAAGTAAGATACAGGTATCACTTATTCCACGCCATTAAATTTGAATCTGTAGGCATCCCTAATCATCGGCAAAGAAGACAGATGGTGTAGGCCGAGAGAAAAAGGCGTAAAAAACTCTCGGTACTCTTTTAAAATAGCAAATCATCAAACAACACTTGTTTTAAAACAAATATCGCAAATTAATCAGAAGTAGCCTGTCTAGCACTAGTTAACTTCTATAATGAGTGTAAACTAGTTGTATGCGGTTTGCGTCATTGCAAAAATGTCGTGAAAAACCACAGGAAAACGATAAAGTGACCAAAGGCCAGATGAATTCTTAGTTTTTTCAAATATTTTCCTTTTAGATCTTATTGGTATGAGGATAACAAATAAAAATCACAATTCTCCAGCTGCAATAGTGGATTGTTTCTACAAAATTATAATGGAGGATGACGAGCCAAAGCCTATGAAGAATTATAAGCCAGCTCAGGTATTCTTACAGAACATAAATATGTATTTTTAATATAAAGGCCGTAGACGGTAGAACGGAAGACAAGAACTGGCAATAAACTCCCGCCACTGTTTTTAATCGCCAAGTTTTTTTTACACAATGTTTTTTAGGAGCTGCAACCATTACACCATGTTCCACATGACATCTTAAGTAATAAATAATAATAAAATATATTAAAAACAAAGATTTGTCCTCTATCAGCAGGAGGCATGGTGAAATAGTAGCACGCACTTACATTATCGTGGGAACAACACGCAAATACATAGTCGAAATAATTAACATCACCGCATACACGAATTCAAGTACGACCAGTCACCACAAGTAGCACCCGTTCATGAGTATGACGCATTTGCACGATTGTATTTTGCATTGATGCATCTTATTCATTAACCTTAGATTAGGTTTTAGTATTTTTATAATAGTTTAATAATTGTATAATTATTTTATATTAGTTATCATCATTGCGTTACTTTTATTTTCTTTACTAGGGTTGTTTGGGTTGCTCGATAGCGATCAGGCCGTAGCCGCCCTAACGATGATGCAATGAAGTGTTAATGAATAAATGGTTAAAGTGATCGCTCATGGGCAATACGATGGATCGGCTCCCGAATGCATCCCGCTATTGGAACATATTAAGTACCTGGACATGCCCAGGCTGTAAAGCCTAATAATGTTAATAGTTTCTCTTCGTTCAGCCATCAGTCTCTTAAGGGGGCGTCCATAAATTACGCGAGGTGTTTAAGGGGGGAGGGGGTCAAGTCAAATCTCATTTAATCTTACGTTGGAGAGGGGGGTCTCGACAAATATCACGCAATTTTTTTTTCTGATTGAAAAAAAACTTTGGAAAACGGTTGACCCTAAAGGCCATCTCTGCAACTTCCCGCTAACTCCATACCTTAACGCTCAACATTTCACTTATTTTGTTTTAGTCGTATATAAAAGCACGAAGCAATTTTTTTTCTTTATACAATAACAATCCGTAAGAAACCCACATTTTGAAAAATCTCACGTGAGATTGGGGTGGGGGAGGGGGTTGATTAAAATCTCACGACATCTCACCAGGGGGGAGGGAGTCACAGAAAATTTAAAAAAACACCTCACGTAATTTATGGATGCCCCCTAACCAATACGACTCAGGGCCCTTCCAGAACAGAGTGTACTGGTGTGTCAGGTAGTGAGTGTGTAATCAGAGGGGCAGCAGAGGCACACAGAAGAGTTCTTTACTCTTTATTTTTATTAATCTTTCTACTGTTATTATCATTACATTTTTTTTCCAGTTACAACCACAACGCACACACATTACACACTTAAAATGTACGTTATTCCTTTTTTCATATTTTTTTGTTCCTTCCCTTTTTATTATTATGTGTGTGCGTTTCGTTAGTAATAAATGTTATGTCTATTATGCCTCTTGTTCGTTAGCCGTACTATATTAAAGCCGTAATAGTGCGTTTAATAGGAATTGAAGTCCTGTGATAACAGGTCACTAAATCATGACTAAATTATGTGATATGCATAAATTTATTATATTGGTATATTATAGAAAGTAAAAAATGGCGCTGATAAGTTCTGGGACACGCATCAGCAGTATTATGAAGCGCGCAGTAAGCACAGTACAGACCGCGTAGGGAGGGTGAACAAACACAACACAGCTTATCCAAAACTTATAGATGAGATGCGCAAACGCAGGTCTACGGCTAAGGTGCGTTTTATTCCTTCGTATAGTAATGGAGATTCCGATTTAAATATCTTGTTTTGTATGAAGAAAAATAGACCACTAATTTACTAGAGAATTAATGACCCTAAAAAAAACGATCGGTCTGCTCCGTCCAACTATCGCCCAATAGCTACAACCTCCTTGTTCTCAAAAATAATGGAATCCATTATTAATGGCCAGCTCTTGAGGTATCTAGAGGGCCACCAGCTGATTAGCGATTATCAGTACGGCTTTCGTCGTGGTCGTTCGGCTGGTGACCTTCTTGTATACCTTACACATAGATGGGCAGAGGCAATTGAGTCCAAGGCGGAGGCGCTAGTGGTTAGTTTGGACATAGCGAAAGCCTTCGATCGGGTGTGGCACAGATCACTGCTCTCGAAGCTTCCAGTCTACGGGCTTCCCGAGAAATTATGCGACTGGATCCTCGGCCTCGGGCGCAGACGAACTTACTTAGAGAAGCATCATTTACGCGTGTTTTGCGCATCCTAAACACTATTGCTTGTGAGACGGATATATTTAGTTGCACACTGGCTGAATTCACAAGAATTTCATTATTTATAATTAGTTATAAAATGGTTTAGGTTTTTAAGTTTTTACTTATTATATTGTTAGCGGACTAACGCCATTTTGTAGCAGAAACCTATATAAAGCGTGGCAACACCGGCGTTGACTCACTTTTATTTCGAGACTTCGTGCGGAACGGACTTGTTACTAACCTAACCTCAGTAGATTTTAAAAGTCTGAAGTACCTACACGTTCTAATCTTTTGTGTTTCCTAATATCAGAATTGGGATTTGAACTTTTCGCTCACTTCTCTTTTGTTTTGTTTTGAGTAATCTTTGTGGTTTAAATTTTCCTTCTCTTTGTGTCCGTAATGTACGAAGTCACAAGTGATTAACATTTTAAAAGTGCTCTTTGTGTTAAAATGTTGTTTGTGTTTGTGAGTGCAACAGTGTCACATTAAATTCGGGATCGTCTAGTCAGCAAGGTAGACGAGAGATGCTTTGACAGAGGACGGCCGAACGGTTGAAGAACAGTCAAATCAATCAGGACACTGTCGTTAATGTGGGTCATAGACCCCCCTTGTAAATTCCAGAAGGATGATCTGGTCTTTGTTATTAAGAACATGCAAAGGTATGGGTTTCTGTTTTAAATTTTTGTGGTGCTAATGTGTTTAGACCACTTTGAGAACATACAAGTGTATGGGTCTCTGTTTTAAGTTTTTCTGGTGCTAATGTGTTTAGACCACTTAGAGAACATACAAAATGTATGAGTCTCTGTTTTAAAAAATTGTCGCTTATGAGAGCACTAGGAGCCACTGTCGATACGACGGTGATTGCAAATATACTGAGTTTTATCTTTATTTGTGTTAAGTCTGAAGCTATCTAATTCTGTAATATTTGCTTTTTGAAAGATCAATGGACAGGGTAACCAGCCCCAAACTCACGATCTTCCTGTATAAATTGTAAAAAGATCAATGGACAGGGTAACCAGTCCCAAACTCACGATCTTCCTGTATAAATTGTAAAAGATCAATGGACAGGGTAACCAGCCCCAAACTCACGATCTTCCTGTATAAATGGTAACAAGATCAATGGACAGGGTAACCAGCCCCAAACTCACGATCTTCCTGTATTAATGGTAAAAAGATCAATAGACAGGGTAACTAGCCCCAAACTCATGATCTTCCTGTATGAATGGTAAAAAGATCAATGGACAGGGTAACCAGCCCCAAACTCACGATCTTCCTTTATGAATGGTAAAAAGATCAATGGACAGGGTAACCAGCCCCAAACTCACGATCTTCCTTTATGAATGGTAAAAAGATCAATGGACAGGGTAACCAGCCCCAAACTCACGATCTTCTTGAGAAATAAGTAGACCTTATATCTACTCTTATGGTGATACTAAACTTGTGATTGTTTACACAAGTCCTTTACACATGAAAGTGATAGTTTGTTTCAAATCTTGTAAGGGTTATGAATAATCTTTCACTCATTCCTTGGAGTCTGATACTTTAAAGTTCCTTTCTATCTTTCATTACTTTGATTGTTTGTATTAAACCAAGTAAAAATGTTCAGCTGCTGACCAAATAGACGACGCAATACCTTCCCAGAACTGTAATGTTCTAACGTTCTATTCGACCCACAGAGATGACAGTATAGACGCTGGGACATCAAATCCTGACGAGGACGTCAGGGTGTCAGGAGAGGCCGTGTTAGCGGACTAACGCCATTTTGTAGCAGAAACCTATATAAAGCGTGGCAACACCGGCGTTGACTCACTTTTATTTCGAGACTTCGTGCGGAACGGACTTGTTACTAACCTAACCTCAGTAGATTTTAAAAGTCTGAAGTACCTACACGTTCTAATCTTTTGTGTTTCCTAATAATATTATGTTTTACGTTAGTTTTCTATTGTATTAGTATTAAGTTACTGTAAAAATAGGAAATAAGGAAGTAATAAATAAATCAAGGTCGTCATCGATGGAGCATGTTCCGACCTTAAACCCGTGAACGCTGGGGTCCCACAGGCTGTGTTCTATCCCCGACCCTATTTCTTCTGCATATCAATGATATGTTGAAACTTAGCAACATTCATTGCTATGCGGATGACAGCACTGGGGATACTCTTTACACTGGCCGGGCAGGTATTTCTCGGGCAGTTGTCGATGTGTATCTTTACCGCGGCAGTCCACGAGTGCCACAGGTTTTTTTTCGTTTTGTACCTTTTTGTAAATATGTTAGGATAGTTTTCTATAGGTGAACGAATATTTACCATCGGTTCTACGTTTCTGATAATGATCTGTGAACTATTTATTCCTTTTAGGTTACCACATTCAACACAAGGTCTTCAAGAAATTACACTTATCGTAAAAGACAATCAAAGACCCAGTATAAGCGGCGAACACCAATATATAAGCCAATAAGAAAATGGGGAACCAAATTTAGAACTATCGGAAGTCAATGTGCCTATGTTCTTGTGAAAAATAAAAACGTCGGTGACCATGGCGCGATTTTGGAGATAGACTCCAAATTGAATAATGACAGTGAAGTGCGCGCGAAATGGCCACAGACATCGAGCTCTGGGGCATCGAAACCACAGAGTAAATCTGGCGCTTCATTGAAAAATCCAGATACAAGTATCGCAACATTGAGTAGTTTTAATAGTCACGAATCTCTAAATCAAGAACCAATGGTTTAATATGTGTTGAATTTGTATTTTAATTTATTTAACATTGAGCTGTAGACCAATATATATAAAATGCGTTGTTTATTTTTATTCAACCTTCAAGTTTTTTATCCAACCCAAGTTTTTTATCCAACCAAGTTCTGCTAAAAATAATGATCCTACTGTAACTACTAAACTAATAAATAATAAGTATACTTTGGTTTTCATAAAACTATTATTTCATCGGGATTTAAACCAACGGTCTCTGCTATATGCAGCGTACAATATAAAACGTAGGAATGTTTCTATTAAATAATTTATTATAAATTGATATGATCATAATGATACACTTCGCAAAAACATTAAAATTAATTGAAAATACAAATTGTTTGCATTGTCATAAACAATGCTTCATAAAATATGTTTTATTACGACAATATTCAACATATATAACATAAGGTTTAAAAAGAGGTATATTTACCGATGTTGCTTATATACAGCTTGCCAGCCAGTAGACTATGTTTGAATTTATATGTAACTAGCTGCCCCCGCGAACTTCGTTTCGCCTGAATGTGATTTTACTTAGCCTACCTTTTTAGTACATACCAACGTGGAACATTTTACTATGCTACCCCAGAGACTGTTCGGTTTTCCGGAATGAAAACTTTTTAGGTTTTTCTGTGAATTTTTCTGTATATAAACCTCAGAGTTCAAGTCATAAGAATTGAATTAACAAATTAAAAATTGGAGTTGATCGTAGAGGGGTGAAAGTAAGGGGTTGTATGTATTTTTATATGTTGTATCATAAAAAAATAAGTTAAATAAAACTTTTATCCATAAAATAAAAAATAAAATTTTGGGGTGGGTGGACTCCCTTTATCAATTAGGGGTTTGAAATATAGATAGTAGCCGATTCTCAGACTTTCTGAATATGCATAAAAGATTTCATAAGAATCGGTCGATCCGTTTCGGAGGAGTATGGGAACGAACATTGTGACATGAGAATTTTATATTATATTAGATAGATATAAATGCCAGGAGTATCTATATAATATATTATGTAGTATATGTAGTAGGTGCACTAGACGACTAAATATATGAGAGGGTGAGACTTAGAACCTAACAACCCTAAACCTTAACCCCTAAGCGCTACAGATGTCCCCTAACACATAAAATAGTGAATATATAAATAAGTACGGGATGCCTGCACCGACAGACCTAAGGTAACAGACGGAGCCCTTCGGGTAGGATCAAAGGTTCGAGGTGATGGGATTATTTCAAAGCTACCGGGCAGGCTCACCACGATAATTAAGGGCTTGAAGTAGTCTTCGCCAGTTTGAGAGTTTTTCTAGTGACCTGTTGGTGTATCGCGCAACCTCAGCTGTTAAGATTTGGAACACATATGAGCCGTGTCAGCAGATGATCAATATTTAAATAAAATATAATTAAAATTGCTCTTCAGCTGCTAATATTTAGCACACACCGGATCCATGTCAGCAGTTTGTTGATGTTCAGATTTCATCATCATCATTAAAACTTATAACAGATCGATGAAAAACTTAAAATATTTGCGTTACTCTGTCTTGAAACTCCATTTTTAAATTTATACCAAAGGTGCCAAAGACAAAATTAATCTGTTAAATAAGTAGAAGCGTAAACAAAATGTAAGCAATCATCGCATCAATATGAGCCCTGTAGTTTTTACCACACTCATAAATTGTAATTTAACATTCTCGTTTCCGATAACAAATAGTAATAGATAATAGATTTACGAACTCTTCATAAGTCAAGTTAGTTTTTTGGTAATCCAGCGTCGTAACCCCACTACCCCTAATGTTATATTAGTTATAAGTTCATGTTTAAAACCATTTTTTTACCCAGCTTCAAACTGTTCTGTTTTATTTGCACATATACAACAACCGCGACCAAACTTAATTCGATACAAGGTTTTTATTCCACGTACAGGAAAATACGCAACACCATCTCACACTTAAACTATTCATAATTCGACCTTCTCCAAGATTATTAACATTGCGTCTATCCGGTTTTGAATTTAAATCAATTCTTGCGAATGTTTCGGCCAGTTCGATCGCGCTGGTTTTATTTTCCGAGTATATTTACATCTTGTTTACCTTGACGCATCAGTCCGTCAATGTGCTTAGTGTAAGATGTCGTGTTGACATCGAGATTCACTTAAACGTCATACGTTTTTGGCGGGAACAATGCAGGGACTAAAGGTTTTGATACTGTGTTCGCTACTCAAAATTGTTTGTTTGCAAGGAGTTGGATCAGGACACAATGGAAATTGTAAGTTTTGTTATAATATATATTATATAGATTTATATCTTAATAAGTTAACTTTTTTTTAATATAAAAATATTAAGGACGAAGATAGTACGTATATGAATTAGAAAAGAAATAAATTTATTCCACAGACTAGGTATATTACTTATAGAGTACAATAAATTAAAAACTTTATTTAAAAGATTATAAAATCGTTTTAATTATCACAATTTTACAATGTCAAGCCGCGACCATGCTGAAAGCACGCGAAAGGTGACAGATTTAAAATTTAAAATAAAAAATTGTATTTAATTTTAAATATACAAATGCGGAAAATAGGTGATATTTAAATTATAGACGCCAATTAAAATTTTATACAATATCAGAATAGCATAGACAATTTAAAAAGGTAAATAGCGGAAGTAATCTATAAATGCCTTCTGTCCGGATATCTTATGTTTGATTGAATAGAGAATGTCCGTTTAACTTGATTATATTTCACTCAGAGTTTAATTGTATCTATAAGAATATTAAAATATATATATCTCATAAAAAGCCTTAATTTCCTAAGGGCTACAATTAATGATTAACTACTATGATTAATACAAAATTATTTTGATACTTATACGCATGGTCTTTTAAATTATTCGTAACAATTCCCATCTGTGGCGCAAACAGATTTTTTTATATAATGCTTATAATCGATTTATTAAAGTTCACCACATCATATAATGCTATATACAGTATACGTTACAATCTTTTTTTATTTTTTTTAATAAGGTTTCACATAGGCACTTAGCATTGTTTCTTTTTTCTTGTTCAATTCAATTTATATTTCTGTGTAATATGGAATGATAAAAGCGTAACAATGTTTTTTATGGAAGTGAACCTGTGGTATTATGGTGAGGTCGCTCCGTGAAGCCTGCGAAGTGCCCAGGAGACTTCTGTGCTTCTGGAAGGTAGGCTGGCTTAATTAGCCAGGACTTTACGCACAACGTACCGAGTATGAGTGTGTAACCATGTAGTATTCTGGCTGCGTTCTAGTGTCTCTTTCTCATAATACGCGAATGAAAGTACGCAATTTTTAATATAAGTACAACATTTATTTTTGTGGAATCCGTTTCGGTATTATTATATCCATCATTAGCTTATCTTGAAATATATAACATTCTAGTGTCACAATGTTCGTTCCCATACTCCGCCAAATCGGCTCGACCGATTCTTATGAAATTTTTTATGCATATTCAGTAAGTCTGAGAGTCGGCTACTATGTTTCAAACCCCTAAATGTTAAGGATGGTCCGCGCCTAAATTTTTATTTTTTAGATAAAGTTTTTGTTTTTATTTTTTAATGATACAGCATACAAAAATACATATGTACTACCCTTAATTTTCACCCCTCTACAATCAAAGCCTATTTTTATTTGTTAATTAAAATCTTATGACTTGAACTCTGAGGTTTATATAGAGAAATATTCACAGAAAAACCAAACAGTTTTCATTCCAGAAAACCAAACAGTCTCTGGGGTAGCTTAGCTAAATGTTCCATGTTGGTATGTACCAAAAAGGTAGGCTAGGCATTAAAGAGAAACAAAGTTCGCGGGGGCAGCTAATAATAATCAATGGCGCTACAACCTTTTTTAGGTCTAGGCCTCAGATTTCTGTATCTGTTTCATGTTCATTTGATAATCTAATAGGCAAGTAGGTAATCAGCCTTCTGTGCCTGACGCACGCCGTTGACTTTTTGGGTCTTTGGCAAGCCGGTTTCCTCACGATGTTTTCCTTCACCGTTCGAGCGAATGTTAAATGCGCACATAGAAAGAAAGTCCAATGGTGAACAGCCGGCGATCAAACCTACGACCTAAGGGATGAGAGTCGCACAATGAAGCCACTTGGCCAACACTGCCCCTGGTACTCCACGCGGGGGCACCTAAATAAATTGAATTGTCCTGTTTTAGTTTCCTGTCAAATTGCGTTAAAGCTAAAGAAACATAATATACTTGTAGAAGAACACTTATAGCTAACAAGCTATTCTGTGGTGGGCCTTCCTCAAGGTGAAGGTCAAGAGTCTAACCACATTGCTCTATGTAATTTAGACAGCGATTTCTTGGTAAATTACAAAGACACGCGAAGTTCACGTCATACATTAAACCGGCCTTGAGAAATAGTAAAAAACCACAAGTAAGGGGGAAATACCTGTTCAAATGTTTACCAGGTAATCGCAAAGTAAAACAAAGATTTCGATTTATAGATTTACTATTCCGACATCTTCATCTTTAGCGATTAAAAAGAGTGGCGGAGAGTTTCTTGCCAGTTCTTCTTGCCCGCTCTACGCCCTTGCGAACTGGTTCTAAATTCAATTTAAAATCGTTTATAAGTGTACTTGGTTACCTTTATAAATAAAGTTATTTTGAATTTGAGTTTATATGTTAAAATCTCAAACTAGTGGAAGATAACGTTAAAGACTCTCAACAATATGAAACAGAAGAGGAAAATAACCGCTGGTGTGTCAAAATTCTCAGTGGTCTCTCTATAACTGCTGGGCTATAGCCTGAACAAAGTGGAGATATACCAATAGCAGGGTAGCAGGACACGACCTTCAGCAATGAAGAATAGGACTGAGAAGAAGATGAAATACGTAATTTACGCAGATAAACAATCAAATCAAACACTTTATCCAATCATGATGGGCGGATGATGTGGTTATCATAACCCCAAAATACTTACTGGATCATAAATTTATGATATTGT